TAGTAATTTGTAGAATGACACTTTCAAACTGTGCAACACAAAATAATATAGCCAACAGTAACATACAGGTACACCATTTAATATTTATTATATGCATTTTATATACATCATTTTTCAACAGCTGTACTTTTGCTATGTGGTACAATCTTAAAAATTTGCTGATTCATAGTTTGTAAAACAGAAACCTTACAAAACTCATCAAAACTCGCAAACTGATCAGAAAAGTTTTGTGGAAGACTAGAAAAAATACTTTATTGTATTAATCATGCATTACACAAACAAAATCTTTAGTTACACCATAAACTGAAGCACATCTGAAAATAAAATAAAAGCAGGGAATAACTAGTCAAAACACAGCAGATTTATGAATCTTGAATCAACTACTTTTGTATTCTATTTGAAACGCAAATAAAAATATTTTTCACTCCAAAAGTTCTGAAACAAGATTGTTTTTTGGAATCAACTCCACTCCAGGTACTTAACCAGAAGAAAAAGAAATTCTTGCATTGCAACTTTAGAATTGTCAGATGTCCCATTTGTCTCATCTATTTTAGACTGTTCAAAGAGTGCCATGATAGATATACAGGGCCCTTTAACACACTACATAAAAGGATATAAAGACCAACAAAAAGTGAAATAAATAACAATAGGCCATTAGCAAGATGGGTAATCCTTGATAAATAAACTCGTAAATACAGTAAGATGTACAAAATATCACATAGTGATAGGATGCCAAGATTAAATTTTTTTTTTTTTTTTTAAAGAGTTCATTCGGGGGTGTTAACCCCTCTGTGTTTCATTTGAACACATTTTACAGTCCTTTATTTATGAAGACAGTTACGCGATGATGATGAATTAGCATCCTTATGCAAGGACTTAGCTGAGCTGTATTAGGCAAAAGAAGGGAAGAGTGTGGTTACACGGCAGCGGGTCAGTGAGATCTCTGTGTTTTAGGGTTCTATAATGCAGAAAAACATTATCAATACAATCTTGAGCACTGTTGTGACAGGCTAAATATATAAAAAGACTTATAAAAACTAGAATTTTATCCAAACATTTTGTGCAACTAATGCTAAAATATTTTAAGTTAAATTTCCTTTTCTTTAAAGCAAAATAAAAGTTTAAAAGGGGAATCTGTGGCATTCAACTGATAAACAGAAGATTACTAAGAGATGAAAAGAAAGCTACTCTTGGAGCTCACTTCCCCCCACAAGAGCACCACATTCCTAACCCTAAGGCAGCACACAGAGTCCAAAATAAAAGTCTTTTGTAAGATCAGACTCCACGTTTGCTTAAAGACACCTAAAGAACAGACATACGCTCAGTTCATATCCAGTCAAGGCTACAAATACTGGTTTTCTTTTTTGTATTTCTTCCCACCCCCCCAAATACAGTAATTACAGTTAAATGAATGAGCCTGACATTGTTCAAGATGCGGTGACTTTTCACCAACTTATACCTGCCCCACATAAGAGCCTTCACTCAGGCAGATCAGATGTAGTGTCTTATTGGTAACCTTATCATTGATGGCAGTGACGCATTCCCTCTTTTTTGTCCAAACAGACCTGCTGTTATGACGCAGGTTTGTTCTGCTATGTCACACAAATACTTTGGCAAGGGCATCAGCTCCTGCACTGGCAATATACGCTTTTGACGGATGAAATGCTACATCATAAATTGATTCATCCAGCTTTTTCCTATGAGCTGTTATTTCTTGCACACATGTTTTGCTGTCGAAATTCCATAACCTAATGGAACAATCATGGCCTGTTTAGGAAAAAAAGAAAAAAAAAGACAAAAGACAAAGTTATATTTGTCAGACACTTAAATGCATCACAAATGCAAAATTTATAGAGCATACAGAATATGACAAAACCCTTACTTCCAGACATTAAATAGATTCCATTAGGATCTACAGCTAGACTTGTGACAGCATCCAAGTGAGCAACCATAGAATGGACCATTTTACCTAAAAGAAAAATAAACTGTGAATTTCCTGCAAAGTATTGTTTCTTTTAAAAATAACATTACATGCAATATAGAATAACATGCTTATTTAGATTCCAATAATATCTGCATGATATAATTGTATTAGAAATTATTAAGTTTGAACTGCAGACTCTTGTATAAGCATATGGGTAAATGATACACAACTCTCAAAAAGCCATTCCCATTATAAGCACTCTTTTTGTGCTTTTTTTGGGCCAGATCTAAAGATCTGGCCAGATCTAAAGATCTGGCATCTTTACTGGTAGCAGTGACAATGAAGACCAATCCTAAAATGACTGGGTGAGAACCTCAATTTTCAGTCCCTTAAATGTCCTAATACCTGCCCCAGTAGGACAAAGTGTTGATGAAGCTTTGTAAAAAGAGATTTACTGAGTCATACCAAAGGTCCACCTAACTCTGCCATCGCTAGGAGAGAGGCTATTGGTGATAAACCAGGGCAGAAAATAAAAACAAGGCAACTGTAAGTGATACTTGCCCAGAATACTCTCCAGCTTCTAATAATAAACTGTTCAGTTATGTCACAAACCAGAGGTGTTATCTCTGCATTCAACTACTCTTACTGCGTTTCTTTTCAGTGGCCTCCATTCCTGGACTCTTAGTAACATCTTTTAGCATCTCATGATGGTTTTTGGAAGGAGTTCCAGAATGTTTAACTGCACATTATAAGAACAACCACCTCTTTCTGTTTTGAACCTGTCACCTGTTGGGGGTTATCAACTAAACTTTAGTTCATGTATTGGAAAAAAGAGCAAATAAATTCCTAAAAACCATGACTAACATGAAGAAGGTATATAATCTTTGCCCAGTTGTCTGTCTTCCTGAAGAATCTCGGCCTATTTAGTTTCTAAGATTCTTCCTGAAGAAGCTAAATGCTACTGAAGGTACCTCATCATCTTTTTAGCCATTCCCTGAAACATTTCAATTTGGCTGTATCCCTTTTGAGATAAGGGAGACTGGAGTAACACAAAGTACGCATGTGGATACACCAAGAATTCATACAAAGGTATTAACAATGATTCTTTTTGTTGTTTACTCCTTTCCTTCCTCCTAACATTCATTTTGCTGTTCTGACTGCTAAGCGCCAAACTGACATTTTCATTCAACCTCTTCTTATAACTCCGAGGTTTTACCTTGAGTAAGAACAGTCAGACCAAGGATTATTATTTTATATTATAAAGTTTGTTTTTCCTTACATGCATCGTTTCACATTTATCCACATGGAATTTAATCTGCCTGCTCTTAAGTCTATTAAGATCTTCAGTTCTCCATCTTTAATACCCTGAATTAATGAATGTCAGTAAACTGTCAACATATTGTCCCCTGTCCAGATGTTTCACATTATGTTGAACTACTGCTGATCCCTCCAGGACTTGGTAATTTTTTATTTCACAAAATGACCATTTACTTCTACCGTCTGTTTCCTGTCTTTGACCCAATTATTTGTTCATGCAAGATTTTTCTCCTTCTTTTACATCTTTGTTTCTTTAAAGTAATAAATTTTAATTTCAGGACAATCATTGGAATGCATTTAATGACCACAGTTCAAACACATACATTCATGGCAGGTGAGAAGGGGAAAAAAAGTGTCTTATCTTTTTGCTTTTAAAAACAAAAACCCCAAGAACACCACCCCCCACCCCACCCAAACCAGACACGCTTAAGACAGGGGTTTTGTACATGTGCTTACTTAAAGTCAGCTTATGCTGATTTTTTTTTTTTTCTTCCAACTTTGGTAGGATAACATGCAGGAAGTGACTGGTAATTTGACAAACCGGAAATTTATGTTCATTCTTACAATTATTCCAACCTTTTTGTCATGACAGACTGTGCAGTTTTTCCCTATACCCTTCTTTCCCCTCTTTTTTCCAGATCCTTTTCTGTTTTATAAACTTAATCAGCAACTTAAGTATAAGACAGGATTCCATTACTACAATGACTTTAGGGTTATTTCTTGCCCTAATAGGTACTAAGCAATGTTCCTTACTACTGAGAGTTGAAAAACATAACTGATACGTGCTTAGAGTTAAAAGCATGGAAATGATGAAGATGGGGAGAAAGTGGCAGACATATTCTATAAATTAGCAAAGTGCTAACTTAAGAGGACCTTCTTGTCCCTCACAACTATCTCTGCATGTTTTGAGAGTATTTTCTAACTGCTGAAGTCACAATTGCAATGAATATCACTATTTCATAGAAAAGGTACTAAAGAGGTTTAATCTTACGAATGCCAAAAGTTCTCTTGTGTAAAACTGCATCACTAGTAAGTTTTCTACAAAATGAATTCTCCCTATGTCCATCCAGACTTTAAACATATTCATACATACAAGTTAGGTTGTCTTTATCCTTACCCGTTTTGTTGTCAAAAAATTTGATGTGTCTATCTTCATGTGCTGTAATAGTTACAGGAAGTGTGGGATGACTTACTACCTTGTTAATATGATTATTTGATTGTACACCTGAAAATAAAATAAAAAAATATTCACCTGCCTTAAAGAAAGGATTAAAGTTACAATGAGAATATTTTAGCATTTCACTTTAGCTTACTATATTAACTAATATTATATAAATAACGTTTTAGGCAGAGCATCAATGAATCTCCTAAGAAATAAATAATAGCTTCTTGCTTTACAGGATGGGGCTAAGCCAGGTATACTCTAGCCAATGTACTGTAAGGTTAAAGCTGTACAAGTGGTTTATACACATGAAAGATTTTTGAGAGAGCTAGCAAACAAACCAAGCAAGTACTGCAGGGCAGCACTAGCCAAGTAGAAACAAACTGTGGCATCTATAATATGTTTAGCACACACCTATTATACCTCCACATCAAAAAAAAGATTTAGCTCAGGGGAAAGAAAAAAAAAAAAAGACAAGCTCCAAATAACTGAAGTCAACCTAACCTATTAGGTTCTGTCAGATATATTTATGTCTTACTTCAACTTAAAGAAACAATGAATGGTTTAGAATCTCTTTCTTTAGAAGATTTTAGAATACTCTTTAAAAAACATTTTCTTATCTTGATATGCCAGTGTTTTAAGGCTTGTTCCCTTCATTTCTGTGCTTAATTTTTGTTGATTCCATTTAAGATTCTCTCTTCAAACTAGGAAAGGTATTTCTCCAATTTGCAATGTTCTTTCTCACTGTCAATGCCAGTTTTTGCACAAGCCACCTAGAATATAGTTTTTACAGTTTTGTAACCTGTGTTGAAGTCTTTATATAAGCTATTTAATACTGTAAGTATAATCACTAAGTAAACAGGACTACTTGGAGGGGAGAAGCAAATTATCCCCTTGCATTATTCTTTTAGATCTCATTTCAATGAAAGGAATGACCAGAAACTGGAGATTTTCCTTACAGAACACTTCCATAGCTTCAAGAAAAGAAGGCTCCTCTATCTAGAGTTTCATCAGATACGTACAATTCTTAAAGAGCTACATCTCCATAGCACCTTATTTGTAGCAACAGAATTTCTAATATTAGAAGTTCCACAGGAGAGAGTGTTTAATCACAATCCGTGCAGAATTCTACACTGAACTAATATTCTGCTTAATTCACTTATTTACTTAACATCCTCTATGTCAAGGCTATATAATGAAAACTGTTTTAATATGCAATTCAGACAACTGAATTTTGAGAAACCTTAGAGAACAAAACCTGTTGCTTTCACTGTCTCTAACTGCTTTCAAATCCTGCTAATCCACAATCTTTTCCATCGTGTCTGTTCCAAGCATCTTTTAAGCACCTAACCAACTTTCAAATTGCATGATGCAGGAGAGGAGCAAAACTTTTTCATTTAATTCACCACATAATAAAACTTGGATAAAGGTATCTCATCCAAGATGGACATTTAATACAGAAGAGCTTTACTTACCAGATTCTATTTGTGATGAAAGCATTACCACTGACTGGGATGTTTCTAAATCATAGATGACTGTGCTGCCAGTGTTAAAAGATGCCACCATATGAGCAGGGTCACAACCTATAAAGTCAACTGATGTAGGTATTCCATGCTCTAGAAAGAGAAAAAAAAATGTCTTTAGAAAGAATGAAACACTTAAAATTCTTGACAGTTTAAACATTTAGTTTGTTTTATACTCATACTTTAAAAAAGAAATTCGCTCCCTTCTTTAGAGTAATGCTACAGCGCCAGGATTACTTTATTAAAAGATCTTTTCCCTTTACTCCTGTTACCTCGTTTTGATAAACGGAGATAATGAGCCTGGATGCATCATCAGCTGCCTCATAACAGATTTTCAAAATCACTGCAAAAACTTACCTTTCTCTCCATTGTAAGTGCAAATACAGGGCATTTTTTCTGGTGGGCTCCATAATCTAATAGTGCCATCTGCTGAACAAGATAGTAAGTGATTCTTTACACCGCTGTAAGCAAGACCCCAGACTGCATCTGTGTGAGCAATTAATGTGCCAGCTAGAACGTTTGGCTCTGGAAAAAACAAGAGTTCAGAAATGAAACCTTTTTAGTGAAGAAACATTAAATAAGTATTTCTTGTAACTCAATATAAATTAAATTCCACATAAAACTGTCATATATTCCCCTCAGCCCTTCCTGTTTAAGCAAGAGCTAGAATATTAGCACAGGAGGTCATTTTGCACAACCACTGCCAGCTTTCTCAAAAAGACCCCCAAAAAAACACCAAAAAAGAAAAACAAAGAAACAAAAAACCCCACCAAACCAACCCAACCAACAAAACCCCACAAACAACTATGTCCCTTTTTCCAGAATGATACACACTTGGTACCACCTCCTCTGAGGCACTTGCTTCTTCCCTCCAAATTCACCATCTTAAAGATGCTTGGTCACAGCCCTTCCTCTGTACAAGGTGCAGAAACACCTAACAAAATCAGCTTTCCACTTAAACACTGATACCCAATGCTGTTTTTACTCAGTGTACTCCGCTGACACAGGGGCATGCTCTAAAACTCTCAAGCACCCTAATAATTAAAACAAGATTACTTCTGTTGTGGAACAGGTAAACACATTCTTATTTTTTTCTCCCTGATACTTTATAGTTGTCTTTTATAGAAGGGTTTTTAACCTGTTTGCTAGCAGACTTTGAGTAGAGAAGTGAGAGAAAAAGACAAATGGAAAGGAGTAAAGCCAGATCAATCACTAAAACTTAGTTTTGCAGGAAATTAAAAACAAGTTGGTCTTGCAACCCAAAACCCTGCTAACAAGCTTTAGGGAAGTAAAAACATCCTATTAGAGCTCTCTCTTTTAAAAATAACTTTGTCAGTTGAGTAGAGAGTTCTGTCTGAGGCCCGTGAAAATTATACCAACAATCCAATTATACCTACATGAAGAAATCGGACCATTTTTAGTGATTAGACTATATTGAATAAATTTTTAGCAGAGGCACAATTTGAGCTATATATTGGTTTTAAGGGACAGGGTGTAGCGGTCTTCCTAAATTGGTGCAAGACAGCACTGCCTCCCATCCCTCCCCATCTCTCTGCCACAAATTATGCAGCCTGAGTGTTGTATTAGCTCATTCATTACATTGACACAAGGGAGAGAGGAAGAAATCTTGACTCTGTCCCATTCAAACTTCAGTCAATCACGGAACTGCACCCTTAGAATTACACTAAACACAAAATGCTGATCAGCATCAATGGCAGGAGAGTGATGCACAGTTTTCCAAGCAGTTATGAGCTCTTTAATTTTAGAGACATCGGTTATGGGAACTGAGATGCAAATCAGAAACATGGGACATAGAATTTGAGTACACTTATCTTAGTTTTCTGAGAATTTCCTATCAGAAGAAATAAATAATCATTCAAAAATTTGGAATTTTGGTTCAAAGTATAAGCATGCTTCTTAAAAAATAATTTATAATTAATTTTTTCTTTACTGTTTAAACCTCAGAAATTGCCAGTCTTCCTATTACAGTTCTGTACAAAGTATGTCACCAAGTGGGAATAAATAATTAATGTTTACCCCACACAAAAAGTTGAAACCACACAATTTAGTTGATAAATGGTAGTTACATTTCACAAAAGCTCCAGAAAATAGATTAGCATCAAGCAGAAAATCAAAGTTGAAGACAAGTGTCATGAGTTGCTTATCTTTTAAAAGATACTTACCATAAGTATCATATGGATCCACATTAGGGCTAGGCATGTTCCACCACTGGATGGTTGCATCAATACCACCACTGAAACACTGCTCTCCATTGGAACTAATTGCCAATGACAATACAGGTCCACTATTGGGAGACAGAGAAAAGGAAGTTTATTGATACTGCCTACAGAATAGTAGTGAAAATTAGCTATCTACTTTCAAAAAAAATTGGATTGGATTAAGTAGTTAAAAAAAAATTCAAACTCCAAAGAAACAATTCTGTTAAAACCTTTAAGTCTCAACAAGTGATACCAACCTGTATTAAAATATTTGTAATAAATTAACTAAAACTATCCAAATTCAAACAATTCAAAGAACATAATCTTATTTCTCAGAAGCAACAGTAACTAAACCTACAAACGGTGCGTTTTTACAGTACATCTACACCAATCTAATAGCTAGGTGGGCGAAAAGGGGGGGTTTTGCCCCCCCCCCCCCCCCCCCCGAATTTTCTCATCCTATTTTAGGAACTGACAGTAACCTATGCCCCAGTAAACTGGTTCAGAAAAATGATCCCATAAAGAGTACTTTTTGGCCAAAGTTCGACTTCTACTGGCTTAACTTCAACCTGTTTGCTGTGGTGTCAGACAAGCACAAGCTGTAGCCCAAAGGAAGCAGCAGGTCTACTCCTTTGGACACACTACTAAGTCAGGCTTAACTGTATTGTAAGACCATATCCCCAAAATTAGATGCCTGGCTCATTTGACGGGCCACACTCAGGATATAAGGAGTTCACTGGTTGTTTAAGTGCAGATGAGCAAACTAGAATTACATATTTGAAGATGGTGAAAAGGAAGACTATTGGTTGAATCCACCTACATATTTGGCAAAGGGAAAAACAAAGCTGGGCTGAAAGGGAATGTTGCTCAAAGCCTGCCTGAGGGGAAAAATAGTAAAATTACTTTGTTACCAGTGTCATTGGAAGTCACAGGGTGGGGATCAGTTCTGTATCAAAACGTCCCCAAACCTTACCTTTTGGTATTCAGTAACAAAAGCCCAAACAATAGCCCAAATATAGACAGAGAAAGAGATCTGACGGATAATTCAATTGGTCAGTGACCCTCTATCACTCAAAAGAACACTTGTATTTAAACATGAGGACAAATTAGTCACCCAGCCCTAGGGAAGAGTGTTTTACACTTCAGCTAGTAAGTGCAAAAATAAGACATTACATTCTATCAAGTAAGTGGCTTAAGGAAAGGAGGAGGGCGATGATCACATGTGTAGATTTCCTAATAAAAACTACTAATTTTTTTTTTTTTTTTTTTTTCAAGGCCCCAGCACAGGAAGCGTTATCCACATCCACGCTTATCAAAGAGCTCTCATGAAGCTTACCTGCTAACTGGGTTGGAGACTGGATCTTTAGTTATATAAGCAAAGTACACTCAAACTACTGTAACTGGCTACGGACTGCGCATTTTTGTCTTGCCTTCTTATTGGAAGGAAGCAGAATTCAAAATTAGCAACTGAAACTCAGGCAGTAATAAAGCAGTTAATGTGAGTTGAAAAATCACTAGGAGTTTTACAAGTCCCAGCTCAACTTGCAAGTTTTACTAACATTGTTTAATTCAGGTTAGCTCACTGTCACCATCTGCCACAACAAAGATCTTTCCTTGTTTCAGATTAGTTTGTGCAATCTTCTTTCCCAAGATCTTGGGCTGGACCGCAATCAGAAATGAGAGTATTTGTTACGGTGTGTAATGAACCACCATCTGCACACAAAGCAAGCAAACTTGAGATAGGAAAGGAGGAAGCCTGGATTGACATTGCAAGAGAACTGATTATAGCTATCAGAACTTTACTCAGGTATTAATCAACTTTTTGATTACAACAATTCTTTCACTGATTTTTCAAGTTCCCCCAGACCTGAGAGGCATATGTATGAATTAATACCCATGCCCTATCTACTACTTTGGCCTATCCTGGCAATGAAATTTTATCTCTTATTCTTGTTCAAGCCCCTAAAAAAATTCAGAACCCTCCTAGTCACTTGCTTGATCTCCTGATTTTTCACTCATTGAAGCTGCATTCAATGTTTTTTTTTATTTTGGTCCTGATGATTGCATCTGTACTTCTAATTTCTCAGAGCTGTATCTGAAGATACTAGGTAAGACTAATAAATTCTACTTTATTTATCTTCTTCACATATTATATATAAAATCCACAGTCCAAGACATGGGCATCACTCAGGTGATTTCATTGTCTTCTTCCACAATCTCTCCTTCCATTGCAACTAACCACATTTGCCACTTCCTGTCCTTCTTGCTTTATCATGGACTGTGCAATTCGTGACAGGGACTCAGTATTTACCTGTTTTTACAAAGTATAAACGGACCTTGTCCGTATGATGTAAAAATAGAATACATTTGTGGCTTTTAAACGGAAGTGTCTTATGAATCCATGAGATAACGACCATACAATTATCAAGCATTAATTATGTCAAACACTTACATGTGGGCCCTAAATGTGTAGATGGGTTCTACATCTAAAGAGGCACTCCTGAAAGAGAAAGGAAGAGAAAGGAAGAGTTATTACACTACATGAAATCTCTACTGAAAAACTCTGAAAACATTTAAGAGTTTAATCAATTCCAAAGGCATCTGAAACATAATTGATGTTTTATAAAAACCCATATACTTGCTTTTTGGCAGGAACAGTTTTCTGCAAATTCCAAAGTTTTAGAGTATGGTCCTCAGAGGCTGTAACCAGCACAGGCTCTACAGGATGAAAAGCTAATGCCCGCACTCCATCAAAATGACTGCGTAGCGTATACTTAGGGTTCCATGTCTTTCGGAAGGCATCTTTATTAGCTGGCAGCTTAAAAACAGAAAAGGAAAGGAGTAATTTTATCTTGGGTTTATAAATTATGTATAATATATATCTCCCCGTAGTTTAGGAAAACATGCTATTTTTGATTCAACTAATACATGTTCAATCTTAAGTTCGCATTTATCTATTGATCTGTCTATATGCATCTCTAACTCCCTCTCTGGCATGCAAGGTAGTCTGCAAATTTTTCTATTGTAATCGTTTCTTTTGTCCCAGAGTGGAACAGAGTACAATGCTGAATACACAGACAAGAAGCCTTGATTTTCAAAAACTGGTTTTAATCCTTTTGTGCAATGATACTTTAATTCTTCTTCCCTGAAGAAAGATAAAGGTTTCATCGCTTATCATGTTCTCTGCACCCAAGGAAGAGATTACAACTGCGAAAAGCTCATTTATCACTTAAACACAATAAAAATAGCTTCAGGTCCCTAGTGAGTGATCTTCCTCAGATGAGTAACTTGACTGAAAATGACAGGAAACACATGTAATTCTTGAATAATTCTACACGTGAAGGTATGTACACAGAAACAGGTAATCCAAATTCCAATATGTATTTGTCATGATTTTAAAAATAACATTACATATAAATATTTTTAAAGTCTTTAATGAGTTTTAAATATATTCATGAGACAATCACTTAGTTACTATGTGAAGCAATATATACAAATGTTACGTTTATATACTGTGAACATCCAATTCATACTCTTAACCTATAGACTGTTAGGCTAAAATACAAAAATTACAGATGCTTAATAGAAATTATAGCTAACTCAGAAAAGTTAACAGAAAATCTCAAGCTCTTCTAGTGACTGCAGGAGACTAATTTAGAGCTTTGAACACAATTTATATTATGCAGAAAGTAGACCCTTAAAAGACTATATCCCACTTGTCCTAAGCCTCCATCATAAGGAGAAATACATGTGCAGGTACTTCTCTCTTCCTCTCAAGTAATTATAAAGGGAGTTTAGAAAACTGACTTTAGTTAGATGACCAAAATTAGCAAACTAGTAATGAATGGAAACTAATCCTATCCTCTGCCTTACACACTATTCACCATGTAATTGTTAAAGCGTGTTTCTCAACTGTAGGCCAGAATCAGTATCCCAAGATACTTTCAGCAACACTATTAAGAGATTAAAGTCTCCCATAGCTAATAAAATCTTAGTACCTTATATCTGTCAGGACTGAAAATAAAAATCAGATCATAACGTAACATATACTGTAATAAGTATTCTTGGACCAAATCTATATCCTGGACTGAATTACCACTACTCGCTCAACCTAAATTTGATTTAATCTAATAAAAATAAATAGAAAGGCTCAGACAATAAAATTTACTGTTCTGAGTTACAGATGTGCAGACATTCGCTCTTCCCTTATATTAATGTAAATTTCTGGCTTAAGTGCAAACTATGCCAAATTCAGATCAAGCAAGAGAAACTTGTTATACCAGACATGTAACCTGGATTTTTTTTTTTTTTAAATACCAACAAATACATTTTATAACAAAGCATTTTGTTTCCAATCCTCCCACTTCAGCGTATACTGAATACCACAATATTTTTGTTGAGATTTAAGTTATTTAGCACTACACTGCATATTATATACAAGCTTCATAAAAAGAATAATCTTTTGTTTCAGAGAACAGAGTAGAATTCTGGAGTTCTGCATTAAACTTGATAGATTTCAGCCCAACCTGCATATTCATTCACCTCCCTGAATCTAAAGGTGCTAAGAGAAGGAAAAAAAATGGTATTTTTCTAGCAGAGTCCCTCGACATTTTTAATCCTCATTATGTAATGTATTCATCCACCTGGCTAACTCATGTTGCCTCATGCACTTGTGGTGATCTGGGCCTTAGAGAAATTAAAGCCAAAACATTTGAAATAGCAATGGTTAATTTTAGCATGTCCCAGATTAGACAGAAGACCTGGATTCTTTGGGTGCAACGTGCATCCACACCACACTGATTTCTATTACAGTTGTGATGAAGAGTCATTCAAGAAAACCAGGACTGAATACAGTGGTCCTTATTTTTCAAAAAAAGGGAAAGAGTTCATTAAATTTTTTTTGTTAAAACAGCTGTTGCAATGGTGATTTCGTTCTCAGCGGTTCAGAGGAATCTACTAAAAGGCAAGGTACGGAATTTACAGAAGTTATGAAAAACAACGTACATTTCCTATCATAAGTATAGCTTTAAAGCCTTTTTAAAACAGACTTGAACATCTTGGTTCTTTTAGAAGGCACCATGTACACCTTCCTAGAAATCTAGTTATATATAAGCTGATTTTTTTTTTGTTTAATTCTTTTCCCCCATCCACGTTTCCAATGAATCTTGACATTCTTACTGCAAGAGTAAGAGAACAACCGACACATCTTTAAAAAGAGACCCTTGCAACCTCTAAGAAAAAAGCTAACCAGTAGTATATTTCCAAAGAAAATACACCTCAGAAAAACACAGTCAAGGACTTGGAAAAGGGATTTGATGATTACAAAGGATAAATGTGAGATACCTCTGGCCCATTTTGTATAATGGAAAAGTAAAATGTGACACTGTATGTCAATGTTCTAAAGCATGACATCTCAAAAGCCTCTCAAAACAGAAGGCATGGACACACCGCCCCATTAAGTCTTAATGCTCTACTGTAAATGCCAAAAAGATAAAGTCGCGAGAAGACAGACTATGGAACCATACAGCTTCACTAGCTCCTTCTCCCTTTTTCCCTATACTTTGGTGGACTTTATTAAACAGGACCAAGAGGAATCAGCTGAATCCTTGATCCTAGTCCCCTGTCAGCAAACAGCCACAGAGTAGATGCTTAGAATAGCAGGGTCTACCAAAAACAAGAGTTGTTCCCCCACCTGAAACCACCCACCAACACCCAAACAAAAACTCTGTCTAGGTCAGGAGACACAAAACACTTTACATATCTTAAAAAAACCTTTACCACAAAATCTCCTTAAACTTAGAGCAAAATAAAAAACATGAAACCCATACACCACAAGAAATTGCTAAACAGATTAGAGGAGCAATCAGAATTGGAAATGTCTGCTTTATAATACTTGCTCAATACAGCCTAATAAAAATCCCTTTTTGCCTTTGTTTTGTTTGTTTGTATGGGAACACAGGCAAGCATCCTATTCATTCTGCCCTGTAAACCACCAGCAAACCAGACTGAAAGAAACTACACGTGAACTAAACAAAAAAACAAAACAAAAACCAACCAACCAAAAAAGACACCAGGAAAGGAAGCTCTTCCTTGCCCCTGCAATCAACAGAATCCTTACAGCATAGTAAGGAGACATGTATTTCCCTGTCTCGATCAACTACTCGCCTACAGCAAACAGAGGAATCAGAGAGCAATAATTAGTAACTGTAGTCAGAGTCTTTTCATGTTTTAATGCTATTTTTTTCTTGATAATGATGTGACTGATTGGAGATTTTCAAATTTAGATGCTCTGATAAATGAGGACTTTCCATTTCGCAGCCAGTCCTACAGCAGAAAACCACCACCATCCTGTGCAGCTATAGAATCCAAGAATATACAAACGGGAGCATTTGATTTGGTAACAATATTACTCCCTCAGGGTACAAACAACTACATGCACTGAGGTAAATATAAAGAACTAGATATTGAAAAGACATGACTTGAGATGACTGTACCGTATTACAGTATCTACCGCTTAGATGACTAGTCTTGTGGACAACTTGTGCGCTGAATCATTCACATACAGAAAAATTTTCAGCTATAGTTGAAATCTCAAGATTTAAAACTTAATCCCCATCCTGTCCACATATCCTCTCCTTTTCAAAATATAATACTCATCAAGGAGCGATACATGAAACCTAGTGGAACCCTGTTGTAGCTTTATTTATTCATGCACTATAATGGCTCACACAAGCTATTTGAAAGGCATGGACCTATTTGGACCAAAATGGAAGAAGTGGGAATATTAAGTATTTTGGGGGTTTTTTTTGGTTGTTTTACTTAAACATTAACTTAGCTTAACATTATCTGCTTATCTGGACGTATACTGGAAAAGGAGGTGGCTTCAGCTAAGCTTATAGGGGCATGAGATTAAGATGTCCTACAACTACTGTATTACAGGCACATGGTAAGACATGGTCTTATTGCACTACAGATCCACAGTTACGTGGAAACAACTTCAGAAATTAAGAACTATCAAGGAATTTTTAACCTGAAGGAACATTGTGATGGAGAACTAATAGCATCTGAATTTCAGTCTCTTCAGATCCATGACAGGACAGAGATTCCCTTCTTAAATAAAAATATCGAAAAAATCCTTCCCATCTGTGTTATTTGATACTTCAAGTTTATCTTCTCTGACACACAAAGAAGTCAGAAGCCACTATGCATTTTTCAGATATGCTTTAAAAGACAGCAGATATGCTAACAGCACTGGGAAAGGAGGACAGGATAGGAAGCCGGGAAACCAAGTGACAATTACAGTCAATCACTTCTCATTCCTATTTGGTGAATGATCCAGTAAGAAAGCAAAAACTTACTTCTATCTTTTGTCTCCTGTATCAGCCAGATACTAAAGCATGAGATAACCTCTCCCCACACACGTCCCAAACCAAGCTGTAATTAAAGAGCCTCTAACAAAGGGTCTTAATGAGAAAATTTTTGAAAATCCAACCACACTGAAGCAATAAGATCACTGTCATCTACAGGATCACTGACACCTTCAAAGCTTCAACAAATTTGTGAGGTACTGCCCTCTGCTGCAAACTCCTTATTAGCTCAGGCAGTATCTCATACTTGCGTATTTATCCCCTCTATTCTCTGCTTTAAGTTTCCCAAGAGCAATGGCAACTCCAAGTTCTATTCTGCATCACTCTTTGCACAGTAAAAACTGTATTGTCAGGTTTATCACAAGTACCACAGATTCTCCTGAAACAGTTTCATCAGTTGGTGTCAATTATATTATTCATTGTAATGGTTCCTGAGTTTGTCTTGGCTCACCTGTAAATACTCCTCCTCCTTGGAATAAGCAAAATGGCTACAGACTGTTTTATGAAGAAGCTGTACTTCACAAAAGAGAATGATATATTGCAAAGTTGCAATGTTGCAGTCAAGCATGACACTTTCCTCAAAACCAGTCTTGCTTCTGAAAGTCTCTCTCAGGCCATCCTCTACAGACCAACTTTCCCTACACTACTGGAGTTCTTGAAGGAGAGATCACAAATTCCTTCTTTTACATCAAAGACATTCATAGAATCACAGAATCATAGAATAGTTTGGGTTGGAAGGGACCTCTAAAGGTCATCTAGTCCAACCCCCCCTGCCGTGGGCAGGGACATCTTCAACTAGATCAGATTGCTCAGAGCCCCGTCCAACCTCTTTAGCATAGAAAGAAGCATGGCATTTATTTACCATTATGGCATCAGAACATATTTATGATTGCATTATTTTGATCTAAGATACTTCTAGCTCAGCATCAGTCTCTGACAGTAGCTAAAAACAACCAAAAATGCCTAAGAAAAAGTACAAGAATAGTAATGCTGCTTCTCACTGTTCTTCCAGACTGCTATCATTTCAGCCCAAGAACTTCCTGTTCCTTCTATGTATATAGTAATTCTCAATGGAAAGCTAATTGGAGAACAACAGACAACAATGATCTACAATAGAGATATAGAGTATTCTGCTCCTACTGGAGTTGTACAGATACTGGAATTTATGCTATTAATTGTGATTGATAATCATCCTCATGACATTAAAAATAGCCAACCAAGAATGGAGCCATGCAAAATACAGTATTACAGACCAGCCCTAAGGGTCACCATACTAATTAGTCCATGCATTAATTGTCCAGCATACAGGCTGACTTGGGATTTTGGCGGGCAGAAGAGGAAAGAAGGGTGCTTCACAAATATTTTAGATTTTTAAAAGAAAAAACAATCAGAAAATTTTGTGGTTACAAACATATGCCTTAAGAGCCCAATGTTGTCGCGTTACCTTTATAAATCTAATGAAGGGCAAGTGTGACCCACCAGTCCTTGATACTCCAAGGTTCTGAACTCGGGAATCGGACAGGCATAGAATGCAATGCAACTGCAAAAACAATTTGTGATCTAATCTCACAACTGTAGCTGCCTCACTACTGGAAGTATACCATTTAGGTTTTTGATGCCTCATATTTACTGTCAGTAAAATGGGAATAATACTTAAAGAAAATAAAATAATCAACTGACAAGTTCAGAAGCTTGATTTGAGATTCTAAACTGCTTTAAAATAAATATTTTTCCTCATGCAAGTTAGCATTAAACCAAACTTTTCTTAATTCTTCGATGAAGATACATACAGGAGCATTTAGAAGTTATTCAACCAAGTAAATACAATACTATGTAAAACAAATGCCCAAACTATTCAACTTCATAATTCCCAGGGGAATTTACTACTAGTTGTTGTGGTTTAACCCCAGCTGGCAACTAAGCACCACCCAGCCGCTCGCTCACTCCCCCCCAGTGGGATGGGGGAGAGAATCGGAAGGGTAAAAGTGAGAAAACTCGTGGGTTGAGATAAAGACAGTTTAATAGGTAAAGCAAAAGCTGCGCACGCAAGCAAAGCAAAACAAGGAATTCATTCACTGCTTCCCACGGCAGGCAGTGTTCAGCCATCTCCAGGAAAGCAGAGCTCCATCACGTGTAATGGTTACTTGGGAAGACAAACGCCATCACTCCAAACGTCCCCCCTTCCTTCCTCCTCCCCCAGCTTTATATGCTGAGCATGATGTCATATGGTATAGAATATCCCTTTGGTCAGTTGGGGTCAGCTGTCCTGGCTGTGTCCCCTCCCAACTTCTTGTGCACCCCCAGCCTACTCGCTGGTGGGGTGGGGTGAGAAGCAAAAAAGGCCTTGACTCTGTGTAAGCACTGCTCAGCAGTAATGAAAACATCCCTGTATTATCAACACTGGGATGACAAGTAGTAGTTAGGAACATCCAGTTCTGGATGTTTCAAATTTAAGCTGCCTTAAAGCATTTACAATTGAAGCTTTTAAAAAAACTTTTCTTTGAAGTCCACTTGTTCATAGATTTCATTTTGAAACTTAAAAAAAAAAGTAATAATTTTCTAAACAATTGTACATGACCCTCAAGTCAGATACATTTTACATGTGATTACACAAGAGATTTAGCTAGACAGAAGGCAAAGTTCTGAGAAAGTTAAGATGCAAAGAACTGAAGTTGAACTTTGATATTATCTTACTACCCAAAAGTGTTATGTCATTTGAAATGAAACAGACAACCTGAAGATTAATCTTTACTGTGAAAAGTACGATATATTATACAAATTTAAAAAGTACTCCAAATATTTAAAAAAGCTCTTTCATTTATTGTTATACAGTCCAGTAATAGAAGGATGGATAATTAACATTTTCATTTGTTATTCATTAAATAGAACTATGGAACATAACACCCTGCAATACTGGAGAAATGCAAGTATTAGCTCTTACTTCATTACAGCAAGTGTAATGCTGTACCATTATAAATACTGAAGGACAACTATGATTAAAAAAAAAAAGGTGTGTAGTCACACACAAGTATTTTCGGACCCTGTAAAAAGCTATAAATAATTTATTTCTTCACTTTGCAAATTCTTACATTTTAATAAAATCAAGATTTTAATAAAATCCCTAGTAATGGTTTCCAGTACAAACACCATGTATCTAACTTGAAAAGTTACAGAAACAGAGAGGTACCTTATCAACAACAATAATAAAAAAACCCCAAACAACCACAACCCAAAACCACAAGTCACTTTAAATACAATACAATACATAAGACTTACCTGAACACTTCCCTAACCAGCCATCAAATGTTACTAGCCGATGAAAAATTCATATAACACTACTGGTAGTAGCTTAATGAATATGGTCAAAGGAATGTCAGAACACTGGATTATAATAAAAATACACCCTAAAAGCTTACATCTGAAATATACTACTACATATAGTCTATGCTGTTAACACTACATAAACACAAAGGGGAGAGCAAAGAAATAAGTTAATATCAATATTTGTGTTTTATGCCATGTCTTCTCAATACTCCATATCAGCGTATAATTGCCATTTTTGTTCAAACAAATTCACGTTAAGACGTCAATCTTTATTTTGTGTCATAACACATTCCCCCAGTGACAAAATCTAAACTAAATTATCTAAGTAGAAAACAAACAAGTCATCTCACTTAATTTTGACTACCCAAATTACTTAGCCCATTCACAAGGTGCTCCCTCCTCCTCCCAAGTAATAGTTTTTGCTAATAAAACCTCTGTTCTCTGCATCTGTAATGTTCAGGGTGGGGGAGAGGGGACCCAACTATTATTGATTAAACTGTATAAAGAATTTGAAAATAAAATTGCACTTACATCATAACTATAGTCTGCATCATTTGTTACTGTCAAGTCTGCAAGGTCTCCAAGGCCCAGTACACTTAACAACACATCATCAGAACCCATAATAAATGACTTGCCTCCTCCAGGTGGAAACGTTATTGGCTCAGCTACAAAGAACAAAACAGTTTCTTTAAGTCTCAATGTAATAATTCAAACTGATGAAAAACTGCATTATTCATCACTTAAAAGCAAAGCAGAGTTTAAAACTGAACTTGTATGTGCTACATACTGCCCCAACTAAAAAGAAAGAGCATGACAACACACACACATGTGCAAACACACACATATATATTAAATAAACAATTCTTTTATCATGCTTTGTCATTTGATTTCAACTTACTTTACAGAGGTGTTCAATACTACTGACAAGTGACTTGACTGACATTACATTGCAATATCAAATGTACGTCCCAGGTCTCCAAATTCTCAGCTAAATATTTCATTCACTACACCATGCTATCTGCCTTCTATCCGGTTGCAAGTAAGTCTCTGTGCTTTATACTAGACAAATATCTCTACTTGCATGTGTAAATATTTTTTATCTCTCAGGCTAAAGGCCTCCTGTAAAACATCTCTTCTACTTTGATTTTTTCAGATGATTAAAAAAATGAAAACATCTGTTATTCATTAATTCTCTCTCTTACTTTCTCAGCATGATTTTGGATTCTAATTTAAAATACACTCAACTGATGTTTATCTTAGCTAGCTGTGCCTTCCCCAAATTAAAATTTAACATTTCTGTTAATTATAATTTAGAATGAATACAAATTATATATAACCATTATTTTTCAGATGAATTGAGAATGAAAGTTTCAAATATTCACCCATATTCTTTACATTCTTCAACAATTCTGTATATCTCCTTCTACCCACAAATATAAATTTAGCAGTAAGGAACAGTAATAAAGGCTTAAACATTGTAATACTTCAGCATATTTTAGAAGCTGCTTTTACTTAGCAGTATTGCCTTCCGTGCAAAAATTGGGACACTTGTTAGGTAGAGTACTTAAACTTCAGCTATGTGTGAACTTCAACTAAGTGCAAACATCTGCAAAATATGTTAAATCGTATTTAACATCTTTAAAAATTAAACTTGCTTGACTTTTGGATTTCACTGATTTGGCAGAGAGAATTATGGTCTCACTTTAATGCCACCCTTTGTTTCTAATCCTCTCAGAAAAACCCTGAAACTCAGAGAAAATGAAGTTTTCAGATCTGAAAAAACATCCATATCCTGGTTTTTGTCTTACAAAATTAGTTCCAAACAAGAGGACTAATAATCAACACATTCCTGTTTTGAACATGCATCTTTATTATTCTGTATCATCACTATCTGAATGGTAACCTAGTTATGTTCCACTCCAGCTGAAGAAAAGTAACTAAGACCAGGTGTAAATTTATAGATGTCTTGCATCATTACTATGGCTACACAAAGAGGAGCCAGTCCAGCTAGATCAAAAAATCACTTCAAGAATAAAACAAGTTCTAATGCTTGAGAACTACTGTACTATTAAAAAAATGTAACATTAGCACAGGCAACACAACTGTACATGAGAAGCTAAGAATATAATGTATGTAAGAATAAAGACTGCTGTTCCTACAATTGCATAAAAAGAACAAATAGTATTCTAACTATGCACAATCACCTCTTTATAAAACACTCACAATCCATACAAAGATCTTGACTCATCAGAATGCTACATTAAATTAACAGCCCAAAATAGCTTACCATGCCCTTATATGAATAAGCTTTTCATTTCCGTTAATATTTTACTAAAACTCTCAGTTTAACAATCTATTCCAAACCACTCATATTTCAGAAAAAGCCATATTCCTAGAAAACACCTTATTATTTTCCATGTTCCCACCTATTTCCCTTACTATTGGTTTTTGGGGTTTGGTTTTTTTTGGGGGGGTAAGGAGGTATCCAGTCATCCATGCTTATTAGATGAGATCAGAGTTTCTAAGGATTGATTTCTTACTGAAAGTGTCTGAGCTGAGTATAAAAGGAAATAGAAACAATACTTTATACGAAGCAAGAAATAAAATAACATCACAAAAAATTCTCTTGGTGAACCTAAATCGTGAAATCCTCAAATGAATAACATTTCATGGTTCTTTTCTGACAGAAAAAGAGTGGGAGGGGAAAAAAAAAAATAAAGGCTACAAAAGAAACAGAGGGCTCTTTTAGGGGTTTTTGTTGTTGTCGTCGTCATCGGTGGTTGGTTTTGTGGTTTGGTTTTTTCCCTTTTCTTTTTGTCTCCCACAGAAAGACTCCAACACTTCTATTTGGAATTTCCAAAACTGGCTCACCTCTACTGTCTTAACGACATCCCAGCCTCCCAAATACAAGTATCCATTTACAAGCCAAACCTCCCAAGTCATTATTTGCATCAGAGGTGAATATCCCTTTCTTTAAAGCTTCAAAATTAATGCTATCCGAAATTTAGAAGCATATTTCTCAATACTAAAGTTGCCAATATGTATAATATGTTGTATAACTACATTTTAATTTATTTGCACATTTTATTATTTTAAAATAAGACATATTAAAAGAAGTTGAAAAAATGGTTGCAAGCTGTTTTTATAAAAAGAAAAGGCAGAAAAGTAATACTGTGAAAGATGTGTGATGTTATAGCTACTAAAAGTAAAGACCCACAACTCTGCATATCAAAAGCATTGCATCAATAGATATATGCAAATGATAAAGTTAAATAAAGTACTTATTGAATGCTTTTCATCTTTAAAAAAGATCCAAGTATTTTTCTAACACACACAGTACAATATTATCCTTATAGCATAATACATATGTTTAACTGAGTCGTGATCAATAAATACCAAGTAAAAATGTAAGTGATAGTACAAGTTTCTCTGTAGGTGAAGCTAGGTGAAAAAAATGCAATGATTAAATATTTGCTTGGCCAATCCTAACCAGCACTTCTTACCCTCAAGTTCTTGACATCATACATAATTACGTGAAATTCAAGCAGTAATATTTGTACAGACTGAAACTGCTTCAATCTCTAATCAAATATGTATGTTCATATATGCAGTTGTTGTCTACTGTCTACTGTAAGTCAGGGACATTTTAATCTTGTTTTCCAGAAAGTTAATACGTGGTACACCAAAAGCAGCAGTTAATGCCTGAGCAATTAGCTGTTACTGCTATTTTTTTGTCAATCTATAGATTGACACCCCCACAATCTATAGATATTAAAAAAGAAAAACAAACACGTGAAAATAATAATTCTCTGTACAATACATTGGATGGAGAATCATGCTGCTGTTGATTCTGTTTCTGAAAGTCATGCAATATGGTGAAATGGAAACCCCAGTTTCTTATGGCCAAAACTATAAAGTGTAATTACAGCATAAAAATTTTCTTATCATATTTAACCAGGCACTTGGGGGGGGGGAACCACCCCAAAAAAACCCAAAAAAAAAACCCAAACCAAAAAACACACCTTTAGAGGTATAAAAGATATATTCCCAGCCAATTAGAACCATAGTTTACTTTCCTCCCTGAACCTCCTCCTCCCCTCAAGAAAAAAAAAAAGAAAAAGGTGATCTTAATAAGACTTTGTTCTCTATATGAAAACAAAATCATGAACCACTATCTCAGAACTGTAACACTTCAGAGTGTAGCATAAACCTTACGTACAGTCACAAGAACATTATGGCTTGGTAACGTTCATCAGCATAGGCTAGTGTGTCCCGGCAAGAAAGCCTAAAGTTGTCTGCAGAAAACTTAGCTTTTAAAACACAGCTGAATGAATAATTGAGCAAAATCTGCATTTTATGATAATGAAGTATTTGGCCTTGTTAACAAAAGGCAGACCTAGAAGGAATTCAAAAGACAACGCTGAGCTTGTTTGCTTGCAGCTTTGCACCATACGGTACAGACAAAAACTTTAAAAGCCACATAGTATTCAGGATAGAATTTCTGATCAAACAAAAAAATTTACACTCGAATATTCAAGTTTAAAAGTTATGCAGAAACCACAATTAGCAGATATGATGGTAAGATATTCATACTACTGCTTTAATGAATAAAGCCCAAACTACACTGATAAGCTGAAAACATATGAACACATTAAATAGCATGAAAATATAATCCTGAAGGCACAGTTTATTTGAAAATAGCATGGACAATCTTTATTTGAAGGGTAGCACAGTGTTTGTGCTACAGGAACCAGGCAATAAAAGTCAGTCCCTATCAAATTCAAATTTAGCATCTATTTCTTCAGAAAGATTGTTTTAGATGTAAAGTCTGTAAAAGAGACAACAGCTATACGTCCTGTCCTTAAACAATGAACATCTGTGTTCCTTTGCACAACATGTATGGTCTAAGAAAAATAGCCTAAGACAGACCGAGGGAACTGTAACTGTAGGGTCACATGCCCTTAATACCTTAAACAAGGCTAAAAGGCAACCTAAAGCATGTAAATACTAAACCTAAATGCAACCCAAATGTACGTCCACAAGTTTTAGCAAGTGGAATTTCACCAGTCAGTTTTTCAATTGCACTCCACAGGTAAATTTGATACTGGTTCATCTTTAAGTCATAAATAAAAACAAAGATGAAAAGGAAGGCAGTAGAAGAGAAGGTGGGAAGACAAACACTTTTGTAAAATAATAGTTTGGGAGAGCAACAAAAAAAACTCCCTGCAAACTTGCTATTTTTCTGCTTGCCTGATGACAGGCATTTGTGGGGGCAGGGGTGAAGGACGAATAGCAGAACCAACAGATTATCAGGATCAGTAATAACGCAAATTCTTTCCACTTCTGGCATAGCTGATACCATGCCAGGGTTTATGGGTCAAAGATCATCATAAAGGAGCCAAATCTGAATTCAGCTGAGTATTCTGAATTAATATGTTCTGAGTAGAGGACAGAATTCACATAATGGTATTCTAATCTGAAAGTTAATACAAGGAAAGTCATTCCTTTAAAACAAAAAACTTAAAGCTGAATACAAGCTTTTAGACTATTTAGATAATAGTTTGCCACTATCTTCTATTGCCTAAGATAATCCTGAAATTGAAACCAGTACTTTGTAAAGAAAGTATCTTTGTACGCTTCTGTATATAGACCACGAGAATTTTAAAAAAAGAGAACATTAAACTTGAGGAAAAGAGACAAGTTAGTCTCGTAACTTAAATAACCACTTCTAAATTTCACTTTACAATGCAAACTGTGTATCAAATGTTAATACTCACCTTTTTTATCCTCAATCAATAACACCCTATTTGTAAAAGGTTTTTCTAACGGGGGGGTCTGCAAACAGGGATTTAATAGTGAATAGTTTCAGAACACACTGCTGTACATGAAGTTGTTTAAATATACTTATGAAATAATGGTGAGTTACGATAAGCCACAGAAACTCAAGCCATATTCTCATAAAACCATTTGGGAAAATCTGCAAATAAAGTAGTAATGTGGCAATCTGCAATTGCATTAAGCTTTATAGAGGGGACAGTAAATTACAGCGTGTGCTTTCTAAAAGAAATCTCCTGAAATAGAATAAGTAGCTGAATTTTTTGTACCTTCCTCTGCTCTTGCACCTTCATGATCAGTCATTCTAGAAGAGGGTGACCTAGATTGATTAATGATTCCTGAAGGGATGTGGGGTATCTCATCATCGCCCAGATCAGCTATCATGTCGTGAAGTTTTGTCCTGTTGACTCCTGTAAATTAACGTCAGCAGCAAAGATTCATTTGATTGCTACCGCTTGACTTGACTGAAGTCTACAAATCCATTAAACTAATTAAACAAGAATAATTACTGATGGGATCTCCTTAAAATAAATACAATGCTTTGCTTTTGTCTTTGTATATTAATAAAATTGATCTTTTGGAAATCAAAAGAAGGAGTTAATACATCAAATCTGAAAACTACATGCAAACAGTTTTAATTCACTAAATCAAAGAATAACTCCTTTGTGTTCTGTAGATCTATTCTACAATTTCCTGTGGGAGAGAAAAAAAATCATCTTACAGCCCTACTGAGAAGTCAAGCCAAATACTAAAAGAACATTAACTATTAAAGAAAATACATATGAATTAAACATTTGCTAATAATGTTCTACAACTTTAACTATACTAAACAATTTAACACTGAAAAACAGAGTGCAAATAAAAAAATAAGCTTAAAAATGAGGGAAAAAGTACAGACAACTCATAATGGGGGTGCAACGAACAATTAACTTTCCCTGCTTTTGAATGGTATTTAAATTGTATAAAGTGTTTATTAAACACAAAAGCAAGAATGCTTTCACCACTGTATGAAACTGCAGATGTATATTACCCCTATTTTACAAGCATTGTAAGTGCATTAAATTCGTGATGTAGACACTAGCAAACAAGAATAGTATAATTTAATTTTTTTCATTAATTCATTCCTGCTTCCCCCTTATAGCTTGCATGTCAAAAAGTCAAGCTTCAATCATAAAGTGAAATTTCTGTGACAGAATCCCTTTAAAGAAAATGATCCATAATGATGCAAGACATAACCAGCTTTTAATCAATAAGAGTCCTTCCTGAGACTGCAAGCAGCTACATTGTAGAACATTTAAAATAAAAAACCCACCACCCTGCCCCCCAAAACTATGCATTTAAACTTGCTAAAATATAAGTGTTTACTATCTTTAAAAGGGCATATTAGAACCTAAATAATTTTCAAATATGTCCATTTTTTAGTAAAGTAAGCATTAGGAAACAATGTCTTATACTCTGAGGTGACATGTACCACTTTTATTAAAAGGAAATGGAAACTAAAACAAAGCCTTCATTCTCAAAAAAGGAAAAGGTAAACACTGTAACTATAGATGACTTATCAAAAGCAGAACTGTTCATTTAAACAGTTAAACACCAAAACACACTCTTTCAAATAGTATCCAATCATTTCAATTTTTAGATCTTACTGACAAAAAATGGTTAAAATTGATGTGTTTTCAAAAATATATCCATCAATAATTGAACTCTCTGGAGGTAATGGAGAATTCTCTGGAGAGAGGGATGACAACAAAAGACATTTCTGGAAGCAGAATAATAGCAAAAGTGTACCATACATACCCCAAGAGGGATGCTATATAACTATTCTCATTAATACTGGCAAAACTTTTTCATTTTGCCAAATAATATAGAACACCCTATACTTTTTTGTGTGTGTGCTTCTGACATTTTTCTTTCTTTTACGGAACACTTATTATTCCAATTCAATCTATGAAAGCTGCTACCCAGAAGTTGTTTGAGGATAAAATGGCTTCCAAAAGTTTCCCTTACGCAACAAAACAGATTTCTCGAGTGGTTAAGTTTCATCTTACTCTCATGTAGAAGTGAGTCTAGAAATCTCAGCTAATGACGTGAGTGTAAAATAATAAAAATGAGGAATGTCTCTTTCGCACCAACACTTTTTTCCTAGTAGCCACTAGACCGATAGGATTTCATTTCAAAGGTATAATACTTAACTGCAGTCAGCAGATGAGATCTCACATAAAAAAAAAAAGTCATTCTTACAATGGCCAGGTCTCTACCTACAGACCACAAAGCTTGCTTTCGTCTTTATTCCAGTTGGCTGTCTGCCAGCCACCTACCGTGACCAGCAGCAGATACATTCTTGAAGATATTATAGAGCAACCAATAAGTGACATGAAGTCATGACTGGTACCCTAAACTGTCTACTTTAATATACCCTTTGCTTTCCAGAAGAAAACGCATTTATCTTCTCATGTCGATATGCATGAACTGTTCAACACATGGATGGAAAATGCCAAAAATGGCTTATAAACTCTTACATCCAAACTGAAAGCATCTTTTGGAGGTTTAGTCCCTTCTTGTCCTTCAGGCATAACCTCACAACAGCCCTCAATCCATCATGCAATACAGAGAGAAACTTCTTTCTGAAGCTTACAAAAAAGCAGCTGCTGTTCCCAAAAACTTCTCTGTATTTCACGCTGAAAAATGTCAATATTCAAGATTGTGCCACCACCACAGTAGACTGTGCAGATTTCTGCTTTCAATAAGTGCAAGCGTACCTTCATATAATTGAAGTATTTTAAATGTTATAAAGAGATTTTTAAGGATAAGAATGTGCTGTCTCTGCATAAGCACCTATGTTCAAGGCACAAACTGGATGACTGTGTTTTATCCTCAAGAAAAGACTAGAACAAAAAAAAAAAATTAAAAAAAATCAGTAAACATGAACCTGTTAGGAACAAAAGCAAAATACCTACAATCCTATCTCAAGTATATCCTCCTTCAGAGATCTAAAGTGAAAAAGATAATTGAATATTCAGTGCTGACAAGTTGTAGTCTGAGAAGCCATAAGCAGATTTCTATTAGCTCCAAGATGTAATAGCACAAGTCTGAATATAACACAGGGATCCTTCTACATCAACAGGTGATGCTAATGAAGATGGTAAAATCTAAATCAGTTTTCATGCCTGTCAACTATTACACTGTGTTCCCAGAAATCAAGGCTAGCAAAGTGATTGGGACAGATACTGTTTCATAAATACAGAACAATTAGACTGAGGGAAAAGAGCAGGAAAGTAAAAAAAATTAGAAAAGTTTCAAGGAAAGTAAGGAAAAAATCAGTAAAATTATCTTCATTTTAACAATGATGTACACATACAATTTAAAATGTGAAAACTATTTTTCAAATTGCTGAGAACACATTACTGTGACCTGACAGTATGAAATGAGATATGCATTATCTCCACTATTATGTTCTGAAAATGTGACAGACTATATCTGAAAAAACAGTCATCCCCGATTTACCTGCCAAAACTGATCTTATCAAACTTGGGCAAGAAACTGCCCTTAAATTCAGCATATTACTGTAAAAGGTAAGCCTGGTTTTGTAGAAATCAAACTTAACTCCTTACCTATTTATCACAATGAAATCCAGAATAGGTTGTGGTTGATTTGTGTATTTTTATTTTTTTTTTAAATTTAAGAACTCTTCAAGAAGCAGGTTTTGGGTTATTTTAGAACCGATATTATAAAGGCAATTAAAGTGTGGAGTGGTTTTTGGTTTGATGGGGTTTGGTTTTTTGTTTGTTTTTTTGTTTTTTTGTTTTTTTTAAAAAGATCCTTTCATAAGAAAGTAGTATTTCCACATAACATGGTGACTATCATGACAGAAAAAAACAAAACACAAAAATACCCCAAAAAAGAGTAAGTATTGCATTATGAAAACATATGTGCTGACAGAAGATGACCTAAATTAAGGTGTTCCATCCAAAAGAAAACAGATTAATACAGACAACAGAAGTATCAAAATAGAATCAAATCTACTTCTCTTTACTTATTTATCCTTACATTTAGAATGAAAGGTACCATAACCGGGCCAGGGCTATGAAGACCCTGTTATGAAGACAACAGTCTAAATGCAGATTATGGTAGTTACCAGAAGCACATCCAACAAAAGAACCCATTAGAATGTCTGCCCTATTATGCTGTCCTCAAAGTATTGCAAGAGGTGATAGTCAATGCACATTTATTTGATCTTTATGATGATATATATACTGCCATGCATACAAATTCTGATATTGCTCAAAATAAATTCTGATAAAAGTCTGACAATACACTGAAGGGCAAAGTAAGAGATGAATATTCAGAATGAAGTTCATGAATAACCAGACATGAGAAGCAGGAATAAAGAAGGTCTTTGACACTATTTTTAGTCTTAGAATGTTAAAAAAGCTGAGGAAAAATGTCTATGAATCAAATAGAATTTAAACAAACCTGTCCAACCTTAAATGCATACTTTTACTGTGTGTAGAGCAATCTCATTCATTTAGCTCAGTGATTTAGAGGCCAATTTTTAGTCAGAAACTACTATCACGAACTTGATGCAAGTGCAGAATCCCACAAACCACCCTGTGAGACTATCTATATGAGTTCAGGGTTTCCCAAAGGAAAATTTAAACTTAAAACCCAAAAGTCTAAGCAGTGACTTACGTGACCTCACAGCATTGTGACACACAGTTGTCTCCTAAATATTCTCTTACGTGAACATAAGGAGGTTTCAAAATTACTTTAGATGAAGAAAATACTCCTTTGAGTTTTGATAGTGGAACACACCTTGTCAAAAGACAATATATGTCAAATAATAACTGATGGCCAACACGTCACGCCCTTCATGGTACAAAACTTAATGTTATACCGTTTGCAGCAACTGCACGAAAGCAGACAGGAAGGAAAGTTTTGATAATAATGTTGCAAAGTTAATTTTGCAACTGGACATTTCAGGTAGAATAATGACTATTTATTTTAAATGATGGTCACAACCAATTTAATCAGCAATGTAGACCATTAAAATGCCAGTTTTTGACGAAGTAGTCATTTTTGATGGGTGAGAATTATGCTCCTTTTCTGGAAATTTTAATATTTACAGACAGAAAACCAAAAAGACAATAGAAATTCTTGACTGCATAGCAGCCAAGGAAGCAACAAGTGCAGGTAAGAGAAATCCTTTCTAGACAAGCCAAAATAATGCCACTAAAACAAATTTGGAGGCCTGAGAAGAGTTTGTCATAGAATTTATAATCCTAGAACAACACTACTTGTCCCTGTTTTACAGCTGCTTACCTTGCACAAGCCAGAAAGTAGAAACTAACCGGTGTGGTGGGTATGAAAAGATTAGAATTGAAACAAAGGTACAGTTTCAAGAACTTTCTGTATGCAATAACCTAAAGGCACAATTTTTGAGAGAGAAATATAAAAATCCCCTAAATAATTACGTTCTTTTTCCCCCGGAATTAAAAACATTTGCTGTTATTTTGCAGCCATTGTGCTTCCAAAAGTCTAAAATGCAAAGTTTAATAAGAAAATTTCAAATAAAAGAAGTCCATTTTAGTATTAAAAGGAAGTTTCTAACTCTACAAAATACTTCATGTGAATTTGGTGTCAACTGCTGATTTACATGTTAAATGAGGATACCCATTAGCACCCAGATTACTACTGTAAGTTCCAATCAAACCAAAGACTAGGTAAAAATCTTTACTTCAAAGATTTTATGTGTGTGTGTGTGTGTACGTGCGAGTCATGCAAAATTCTGAAAAAACATGCGCTGAATTTTAATTTGTTAGATGTTATAAAGTAAATTCAAATCTTAATAATTACAGAATTCTTCATGAAGTGTTATATTTTAATATCACATTTTATTTAGTACATATTAACACAATTTTTCAAATCAAGGAAAAAAATATTTTTTACTAAATATTGCCAGAAACTGTTATAATATACTTTCAAAATAAAAATACTGCAATCAAGGGAGCTTCTCTAGTGTGACATTGATTTAATAACACTTTGTCCACTAAGAGCTTTGTATAGCTGATGACATAAGTTACAAAAGCATTTGTACCAGATACTTCAATACTGAAGTTTGGTTTAACTTACATAGTCCAAATCGGTCAACTGGTCTGAAAACTCTTAGAGTAAAGAGGTGTCAACCAAAATGTAGTAACAGCACAGAAAAGTGAAGGGCACCATAAAATAGATTATGTCCTAAACAAAGCCACAAAAAAGTTTGTATTTACACTACAGGCACTTTTTTTATTCTCATTCCCTTAGATTGTAAAAATAATTACAAGCCTAAAAATATCAATTATAGCTTGATTCAAGCTCATGTTAAGAAACAAAAAAAAAAAACAACAAAAAACCCACCCACAACAGTACCATAGTATTATACTTTAAGAAGCAGATAAAGTTTAAATTTTTCAGAAAACTTCTCAGAGTAGGAATATCCTCAAAATGCCAGTTGTTCATTATTTTTACACTCATTTCAAAGCATTTAGCTCTCTTTACCTATTTAACCTTAAATTTTTATGTGTTTTCAACATTTCTCATCTAGGAAATGGCTGTCAAAGGTTTTGACATATTCACATTCAGCAGGTAGAAAGTTAAAGTTGGTTGCCCCCGTTACAGAAAACAATGCTTAATGAAAAAAACAAAAACAGAACTTGTGAGAAAAAATGTCTTCTATATAGATAGGCAAAAAAAGCGTTGCATTACAAGATTCAGAATCTGCACTTACTCTTTACCCCTTTCTTCCCCTTTCGTTCCTTCTTGTACTGTTCCTTCAGTTTACTTATTAGCCCCTGGTCTACATCCCAAACCTCAGCAGTTGGGGACAGGTCATCTTTGTCTACATGCAGCATATTATTAAAAGAAAAAAAATCAGCAATTGGCAATGCAGGCTGTTGGCGATTTACTATCATAGCTGTATAAGAGCATTAACGAAAGTTCTTAATAAATCTTTACTTTAAAGGTGCAGTCTCAGTTTTAAGTTTACAAAATACTAAGTCTCATTTCATACAGTTTTCCAAGGCACTATATAATATCAGTTACATATTTGAAAATTGTATGTTAATTTGTTACTAAGGAGCAAACAAATTAAGCTTCAAAAGTAACTGTTTATGTTAGATACTTCAAAATACACAAAAATTCATTGGTGTTCAGAAACGATTACTGCATCTTTAGAAAGACAGTGTTAAGAAATTATTCAGCCAGTGTTGAATAAGCAAATAAAAGTATTCATGCTATATCACTCATGAAAATGCAAGCTGAGTAAGTCAGTGCCAGTTTATTCATGAAGACCACCATGCATCCTCTCGCACTCATTCTACATGCACAAGAAAGAAACCTTGGTCCTACATATATAACCAGAGAAACAAGTCTATAAATACAGCTTTTTACATAAGGATGAAGAAAAGTAATTCGAATAAACTGACATCCCACTGCATTCCAGCAATTAAATTATAATTAGTAGAAATACAACATTCCACAGTAGTTTCAGAAGACATGTCTTCTTCTGTTTGACAAATATTGCAGAGTTAATTATTCTCCAAGGAAAGTCAAGTCTCCACTTTTCTAAACTATTCATCTCAAATATTTCTGGAAACACAGAATTAGTAAAAGGATAAGCTTGTTTCTAAGACAAGGTAAATGTAACATTTGCAGAAGGACTTTTGCTAAAAGACAATTAGGCAGCAACCAAACTTGGTTTGTGTGCGAGTTAAGCTTATGTTCACAAATTCCTTAGACATAAAATAATAAAACTAAGTTCCTCAGTTCCCGACTTCCAATCATACCTAAGATAGCAGTGTTTTCATAAAACAGCAATTTTTAAAGTTATAACCATTACAGTCATAAAAGTGCACAAGAGGAGCCATACACAGCAGAGACAAAGAAACATACATTTAGGATGCAAACCAGTAGGAGTTATTCCAAGTATATGTTTCATGACAAAACGTGACAATGAATGAGAAGATATCCTAGGATATTGATGCATCTACCAAAAGACCATCATTCAAATGGGGCCGATCAATGACAAAGAGAAACAATCTTGATCAAAGAGGTGGAATACAGAAAAGGCAAGGGTGGCGAAGGCATGAAACGGGGAGCACAATGGTAACGTCTCCTGAGCTGTCCACAAAGAACTGTGGAGAGGGGAACGGAACAATGACATCCTACTCCAAACTGCAGCTACAACTACCAAACTGCAAACACAAAGACCTCAATCTTTATGATTGCAGGGCCAAAACACTGACAGAGAACAGTGATTAGTCAGGAAATACGAGAGACACAGAAAGATAAGTCAGAGGATATGCCCAACCAAAAGAGGAAGGAAATTAGGAAAAAAAAAAAAAAACAACCAAAACAGCCTAAAACCCCATGAAAGGAAATTCAGTTAGGAACAAATTAAAAATTAGAAAAAAATAAAATCCAAGCACCATTAATAAAAGGAAAATAATCAGCTAGGTTCCAGCGTTGTACAGAAGGATTCAGGAATTAAACTGAACCAGAAGCTGAACATATGTAACAGCAATATAATGCTGTTGTAAAAAAAAAAAAAAGTCACAACAAAATTGTCATTCTGGTATGTTTTAAAAGGTGTGGTGTATGAAACCAAGAGTAGTCTACATAATTCAGTGATGGTGATGATAAAATTGAAGTAACACATTCAGTCTGTGTTCTACACTATAAGTTTAGAAAAAGTCTGTAGATTGCAAAACAAACAGAGCATTTAGATATCAAGACAAAGAATTTGAAGGAACTGGACTCATTCGGTCAACAGAAAACAGGAAAAACGTAAGCCTGCAAACATAAATACTTAAAAACAATGCTATCAGCTGCTGAAATGTAGGTCGTAAATAGGAAACTAGATAAAACACTAACTCTGATTAACCAGAGAGGCTGTGAAATGAATTTCAATGAAGCATTTTAGGAAAACCCAGCACTGTTTCTCTCTCAGGTATGCCTAGATACACTTAGCTATTTCAGAACAGTGCCATGTAACTAGAAGACCTCTGTAATTGCCCCCTAGTAGTGGCACTTCCTCAAATTGCCTGCAGTGTTTATAACCCACACTAAACTGACATCAGGACAGTGCAGAGGATCCAGGATATCCACTAGCCAATACCATTTAGTGGAGAAAGGATTTTTTTTTTTTTTTTTTTTTTTATTTAAAAGATGACCCAAGAGACTCTGAATTCCAGTGACACTCTACCACACAGAATTCTGGGCACAGTCAGTCATTCTCTGACTCATGGTCCATCTGTAAACAGAACTTGAATTTCATGGAGAGGAGAAATTCAGTGATGAACACATAGTTAGTCATTGAAATCATAAGCAGAATAAAAAGACTACATAATACATAATATCTGTAATATGTAACATTATATATAATAATATGTATTTATTCCTGTTTGCTTAAGCAAACAGAAGTTCTATACGCATCTTTTTCTTGATGATACTATATCACCACAAGGCATTTATAAATTTTTAATCTAAAAATGTACATTCATTTTTGAATGTGCTGCATACTTAATTCTTTATTTAACACTGTTTGAATTTGCTCATCTTTCACTATTTTGAAGATAAGCTGTTCCTAAGTAAAACATGTCGCACAACAGGACACTTTACATCACAATGTCTGAAAACAATTTAAGACTCAAAGTACATTAAATGAGGCACTTACAAAAAGAGAATGTGTTTATAAAAAGCTGTATTATAGGAAGGAAAAAAAAGCAACCCAACTTCCACACGCAGTGGCTGGTTTGCAGAAGTCTCCAATAGCAAAAAATGTAACTATCAAATTTGGCAATGAAATATTTTAGTGTATCTGAAGTTAGACTTACAGATAATTCTTTGACGATTAAGTATTGAAAGTAATAATAAAGCAAGACTAGGCAATAGGTTTAGAGCCTAAACATCAGAAGTTTGGTTTCCAGGTACTACAATAAAAGTTTTATGAAGAAATACACATGTAAACAATAACATTTTTTCAGAGAGCCTAAATCTTTGCAAGAGTAGAAGTGATAGAGGATGCCAATGGCAGGATAACTAAAACAGGAAGAAAAAAACAAAGCTGAGAAGAAAACGGAACACAGCAACTATTTACATTACAAAGATAAGAAAAATATGAATTATAACTGAAATACTAGAGTTGATGGTTGATGCAATTGTTTAGAAAGTAATGGCAAGTATTCATTTAAATGAAGTTCCCCATCAAAAATAAATAAATAAATGGATGGACTTGGAGATTTCAAGTAATAACAGTTTCACAGAGTTCAAAATAATGTGACAGGCTAAAATAAATTGGTTTAGGCAATGTATTATTTTATTTTAGAAGGCATTTAAGTGGAATAATATTTGAAATGTTACTTTTGATAGGTAAAGAAGCATTGACTTCAAATATTTCAAATTTACACACTGATCTTTAAAAAAGCGACACTTAACCCCAAGACCTGATAAATTGTATCCTTAAACATCCATTTAAGGAAAGAACAGCTGTACTAAAATCAGTGGCATACTATGAAAAAAGCATTGCGACTGCACTTGGAAGTATGTGTTCTGACTTATTTAAATACTAAGTTAGTACAAAATATACAACAAACTTATGGATATCGTCTTCATACGGCAAAACTCAGAACACATACTTTTTTAAGATGAATGTAGGTTTATGTTTATTTCCTCCTCCTCACTTCCTCACCTCAGACATGAGCGTTTTGGTAATAATGGAATTACTGCAGTTAAACCAGTTGTCACAAAAAAGTGGTAGCAAGTGTGTACAAACTCCCAAAGTGCTCTGCCTTGCTTTTGCTATGGGTTCACTTAAACTGCAATAAAAGACATTCAAACTGTTCTCTGAGAAGTGTGGTGGGTCAATTTGATTTTTAAAATAGATTTTAAAATTTTATTGTATTTTATTTTTAAGTTTGGGACAGCAACTGAACTGCTTGAAAACAAGTTTGAAAAAATTTAACTTGCAAAGTCAGCATTACAAATAAATCAGAATCCCCCCGTTCTGGGTAACTACCTGAGAAGACGACAGAGATATAACACACCAGAAAGTAATCTTGGAAAGCAATGACTTGGAATTTCAGTGGACAAGCTAGTTCAGTAGGTTTCAGCAGTCTGCTGTGAAAAAATTGATAAATCTTTGACTGCATGAATTATAGTATCAAGCTGTCTTTCCTTCTATATACAGTAGTGGTAAAACTGATGCTAGAACCAGAACTTTCTGCATCACTATACATTTGAATGAATGTTGCAAAGTCAAAACTTTGGCTTCAGGGCCTATGAGACATCTTATACCAAGAGATTTGCCTGTTTGGCTAAATAAAAAGATGACCAAGAAACTAATCAAATAACATCACCTTCAAAGGGGAACACCACCAAGCCACTAAAATGCTTCTAAAAATAGATAGGTATTACCAAAACTAAAGGTAACAGTTTGGCCGGCTTCATCTTCCAACTAGAAATAAGACTGAGTTTTAAAAATAAAGGTGACTAACCCTTTGATACTAATTTCCAGGAAGGAATGCTTTCTAATCCTTGGTACCTTCAAAATCAACACTGGATGATTTTCCTGGAAGATGTGCCAGTATTTTCATTTCTGTAGATCTTTATATTCTGTTTGCTCACCGAGATGTTTATCTAAGTATGACAAAGTCATTGTCTCAATGACATAAAATGGTCAAACAAGATGATCTAGTGGCACTTTTTGGCCTTACAATGAAAGACTTACAGTATGCAACCACAAAACTGCTTGTACCACAGTTCAGAAACTAAAATGGTCAATTTCCCATTTCAAGGCAGATGTGAATTACTGTGTTCATTATTCTTTTTCCTATCCAAATTCTCTCCCTCTTTCAATTTCTTCTTTTGAAACACGTAGGCTCCAGGAGTTTCTGACTTAGCATATTTTGTTTCACATCAAATTAGTAACCTACTTAATTTTATTATCTACACTAAAATTAAAATAAATAAATAAGAAGTTGGGCCAGTACGAAAGTATTTCTTGCATTCCACTAATGCAAGCCACATGAGCAATAACATCTAAAAATCTCAGCCAGAAAAACTAAATATACTAATTGCCCATTTTTACAAGTAGACCAAGAAATTCATTTAACTTGAGCACAAAAAGTTTAAAGCTCCTGATCAGAAACAAACGGGGGGGTTTTGGAATCAAAACCAAAACCTGAAACAAATGTAACTGTAATTGTATTTGTGGCAACTACAACAGCATATATATATATGAAAGTTTCAGCATCCAATACACAATTATCTAAGCATCAGCATTTGATCATCACAATCATCCATACAACCACACCATCTTAGTAGGTATTGCAACTCTTATGTTCTACTATGAACAAGTATTCCTTTATTTCTAAATGCTTTTGTTAGAATCTTACCCCACTCTGTTCCATCTCCTGAACTTCGAGCTTCTCCAGCTCCCTCACCATCTTCAGCTGTCACTAAAAAATCAAATTCTTTCAAAGCTTCTTCAGTATCAGGGTCATCTGTAAGGTCAGCAGCTAAACCTTCATTACCAATCTGCAAGCAGATAAACATTTTTCTGCATTTGAATCATGAACAGTTTTTTCTACTCAAATAGTTTAGAAGTGATATAGATTACTCTCACTGAGTACTTGGTTGCAGGGGAAAACATTTTTCAACATGAGATACAGAAAAAGACATTTAGATGTAGTCAGACCTAGAGCTGCTTATAAAAAAAAAAAAAAGAGAGAGCAGCACAGTCTAGTGATCATTAGGAAATGAAAAGAATACTGACACTAGGTTCAGCAACAAATCCCATACATAATTAGAAAATTTTGTTGATTTTCTTATATATAGCAATATCAATAGCTCTGCAGAGAAGCTTTACAAACAAATTGTGTTTTCTACTGGTCCAGAAGTCTTCTTTCCCTTTTGCTTTCCAGTTCTATTTCAGTGTTAAGCATAAGCTTGGAAAATACAGTGTTTTCAGAAAAGTGTCCTTTTATTAGTTCTACCACACCTTCACCTTAAACAAAACAAACCACCCCCCCTACCAAGGCGTCAGTGAAAAATTCTTTCATTCTGCAGGTGAAGAAAATTTCCACATGTTTCTATGACTTGCACAATATTCTTACAGTTCTGCAGAAAGAGACAATGTTTACAAAGATAACTATAAATGATCCTTCTGCTTTCTATAAAAAACAAGCTTTGTCAAGAGTCAAAAAATGAGTGTAATGTCTTCATATGTGCTTAGAGATTTACTTATTAGAGAATCTTTTTATTAGACTATCTACTGCCTTAGAACAAAAAAGATTCAACCAATTGCTTGATTAATCTATTTACCAGAAGTACAAGTTAATACCAAAGGTGTGGTAGAAAACCCTTCCTGACAAGGCAAGTTGGGAGATTAAGACTCATCAAGCTGAGGTAATGCTGCTAGCTATTTAAGAAAATGCAATGCAGCCAGAGGGGCCATCATGCTACAGAATACTCTACTGAGCAAAAAGTAATAAAACTGTCAGTACAGCGTTTGTAAATCCACCCCTTTACATAAAGAAACCCCAATGACAGGGAGACTCTTCCAGTACAGGAGAAAAAAAAACTAAAAAGGAACAGGTAATATAGTCTATCCTACCTAGGAAGCTGCTCACAGAACGGAAAACTAAAGAGGAAAATAAAACAGAACAAAACTTAATTGAACTTTAAACAGAAGGTTACTGCAGACAAGTCTCTGCTAGGCTCTTAACACATTTAGTAAAAAGCTGCATATAATGAAGAATTAAACACATATTTGGCACAGAACTTACTTTTTTTCCCATTACATAATCCAGTTTCTTCTGAGGAATTGTCCCTACCTTCTCCAAAATTCAGAAAGGATGCACACTGTATTCTGCTAAATTTGCCTCATAAAGGGACTCAAAGTATGCAGAGAAGCTGAGATGGTCAAAACAGTGATCTCTCTCAGCAACTAATTCACATTTGCAAACAGGTTGGTTGGTTGTTTTTAAGTTTTCAAGGTAATATGTTAACTAAACCACCAAATTTACCAATAATGCATCTGCTTACAATCCATTCAGATAAGAAAGGTACAACAACAAACATTTTAACATGACACATTTATAATCACCTGGAAAAAAAAAAGATTTCCCTTTTTAAAGGCAATTTCAGATCTATATTAAAAAAAAAAATCCTTTACTTTGTGTTTCTTATTTATCCGGTGCTTTTCTTTTCCTTCTGCAATATCTTCTATCATGTCACTCTCTTCTTCTTCATCACTATCATCTGCATTTTCTAAGAAGTTAAATGTTTCAAGAACATCACCAGAATTCCTACATAAATAAAAATATTAACAGAGAATCCATTTTACTTGCTGAAGAGATTTTAGAAGATTAATCAGATTAAATGCAATTGCTACCTAACAACTTAAGAGCTTTAAAATTAGCAAACCAACAAGAAATGGTTGTACGAAGAAGTTTCTATGGCTGCCTAATTCCTTATTATAAAAGCACCACTCAACAGAATCTTTCTGTAAAATAACAACTCCAAAGTGGTTATATGACATAAATTCAGCTTCAATACACTATATATTCTCCTTTATATAATATATATGTATAATATACATATAAGTATGTAATATCAATACATACATTCCTATGTATAATCAATTTCAGTTAAGTTCATAATCATTTGTAGTCAGCGACACTCACAGGTGTTCAGAGACTCTAGAGTTGAAAGTTCAATGTGAACTGACAAGTACATATCAATGACTAAGTAAAACATACTTAAACTTTATGCTTTTCTTATCTCTTCACTTACCTTTTGATTTCCTGTCCCTTTTGTTTTGATGAAGGAGATTCACCCCCATTGAGGATCTGTTCTAAGTTCTTTGTCTCTACTGAACCATTTGGTTCTGAATTGGAGAGCCCAAGCAAAGACCTTACCCGCTGGGAGCGTACATCCAATATTGTATCTGTATAACCTACTTCCTGAAGATACCTAGATGCATTAAGAGAAGAAAGAAAGGGGAAAGCATATTTGAGGGAAGAAAGAAAGAAATTAGTATTGACTGTTAAAAATTAATGCCACTATTATATCATTTATGGAAAATAAGCTTCATCGCTATCCATCTCATATGGAAAACCTTACTCTATACTGCTTAAAGCTCAAGACTACGAAGTCCTGAAAAATGAACCACTATTTGCACACCTCAATTACTCCGTTTCATACAGTAAACATATACAGCTCTTCATACTTCAGGGAAAAGTTTGAATACACCAATATTCAACAATGTTACTTACTGTCTTAGTAACTGTCTGCCTTGCTTCCAGGTCAGCTGGCTATTCTGAGGTACTGCGGGAACCTCCGTATCTTTGGTTTCTTCTGAAAGATAGTGTCACAGTTGGGTGGGTTTTTTTGTTCTGGGTTTGGTTTTGTTTTTTAAAATCAATTTACTTTTTACAAGAAACCAATGAAACTAAAAGCAAATCTTAAAAAAAAGCTTTAAATTAGAATGCAGTCTTATGCAGTGCTTTTTAAGTAAGATTTTTTTTTTTCTAATTCTTTGCTGAAGCATCAACCAAATAATTTAACAGAACAGAATCAGTTAAAAAAAATTGACCCCCTACATGCAGAAAAGGAACTAGAAAAATATTTAACTTGCACACAAAAGAAAACCTTGCCCTGATCAGCTGAAGTGTTACTGCTAAGAAAACAGGCTATATCTCTTTCACAAAGCAGAGATGCTTAGAAAGCAACATGGAAAATACAGTTAAAATAAGAAAAGCAGTAACATGTATCAGCATCTGGAGAAAACAAACATGAAGTTTAACACAAATTCCATCAGTTTACTATCAACAATTAAAATCTAGACCCACTGCACTTTTACTATGGCAGAGACTATAAAACATGGCACAAACTAATAGATTAGATTAATAGATTAATGTTAGATTTTAACATCTAACTTATACTGCTTTTAAACACATATGAAAAATCCCATCAAGCAAGAAATATGAATAATGATCTCTGGTTTCAACCAGGTATGAAGTACCCAAAACATGGCTCTTCTAAAGCAGAAAACAAACAAACCTGAAAAAGCTGGGGGGGTGGCCATCAGAATAAAAGTATGTAGACCACAATTTTAAGGCACATTACACAAATACAGGCCAACAGTACAACTTCCCAAAGACCTACATTTCAAGAGAAGCCACATGCAATTCTGCTTATTAAATAGTCCAAAGTTGTTATGAAAAATGCTTTCCTCTATCTGCAATATTGTGAAGAGCAAAACTGTTATGATCAACTTTATATCCACATTACAAAATCAGATGTGCTCCAAAGTATCAATAATGGCAGCCTAATTTTTCTATTAGGACTTTTTTCCTTGATTTAAGATAGAAGCTCAACAACATTTTTTCCAGGCCAATGCAGTACAATTTTTTCCCCTCATTCTTTAAAAACTAGCATCCTAAAAAAGCACCAAAAAACAACAGTATTTCTTATGTTTATTCTGCACTCATGCTTTCCTTTTGGATGGATGGCACAATGGCAAAAAATAATTAAATCCTTCAAGAAGGGGTATTAGAAGAAATAAGGAGAAGCAGTAGCTAAATAAGGAATTGTGTAGCTTTATTTAAAACTTTCTTCGACATTCAGAGCTCTTTCAAAAAAGGAAAGGTCAATTTTGATTTTCAGATTAAACAATATTTACCCAATACCAAACCTTTCCTAGACATCTTCTCTATAACACATCTAAGGGGGGTGGGGGGAAGAATGAAAGCTGCAATAAATTGAACATAGCAAATCTAGAACAGTGTATAAAGGAATTATACTAAAACAGGCTATTGTAAAAAAGTTACCTGATTCAAAAGTTGGCATTTTCAAGTCACCTTGGTTCAATTCTGTGCCATATTTTAATTTATGGTATTTTGCCCTGAAAAAGTATGCAAATGTTCAACAAATTAGCATACGATGCTTTTATCAACTCAAAACATTCTACTATTCCCATTTAAAACCACCATACTAACACAATACAATTTATCCAAATAAAACTGTTGTGATAATTATTGCATCATACAATTATTTCTAGTCTTTCAAGAACACAATTTCGAGACAACCTTCTTACAATTATTCACAATTACAAAATAACTTACAGATGAGAGTTTAGTACATTCTCCAAGAATGTGGGTTTTTTTCATGTGTGTCAGCTACTAACAGAACCTTTCAAAAACCAGCAGGTTCAACTATTTAGCAGAGATTATTTGTTCAGTTGTAGCACTGTCATAGCTAGTCAATCACACTACGATGAATGAACCTCACATTTGGGATTCCTGCCTATTTGCCACCTTCAATTTCCGCTTCAATTTCTCTCCTGTTCCATCTTTGCTTATGATAGAGATCTTTTCCTCTGAAGAACCATATCAGAGTGCTGGATTCCCTCAACATATGCATTCTTTTACTGATTTTCTCTTCCTCATTGACTGGAGGCTTAGCTTCCAACTCCTGCTCAGTCCACCTATGCAAACATGCCTCACCCCTTCCCATCTCCTGATCTCTGATCCCCTAACCTCTCCTCCATCACTTTTTTAAAAAAATCGGTCTTGGTGATACTATTTCCATGCAGATATGTATGAGCCTTCCAAATCTTATTCTCTACTCAAGTTGCCCATCAAAATGTCTTCAGTTCCCTTTACCTCCAGGAATACCACATGAACTACCTACACCTATATCCTGGAATTCTCTAACTTTATCCTAGACCTTTCACAATTTGACTTTTGCCTCTTAGATCCTCTGCAAAAATACTCAAAATCTCAGGGAAAAGAGCTCTAGATGTTCTGCAGTAGAGCCAAGGTGAAAGATCTCTGTAAATATGTTAGCAGCTACATTTTAAAGAAGTCTCTATAAAATACAGCTGTCTTCATAATTCTAAATTAAACATTTGACCAAAGTTTTCTGAGTAACTGAACCATACCTAGCTCCCACCAATTTTAAAGACCACTCTCAAATATGAAACTTCTAGAGAAAAGATACATAATGGAACACATGCTGGGCAAAACCAAGGATTTCCAACAAATCTTCTCAAATGGCTGAGCCACTGCTGCAAGTTTTTCCAAATTGAAGGTAAAACTTCATCTGAAATGTTGCCTGACATATTTGATGGTATAGAAGATTTTCTTCTAAATTATGGAAGTTTCTGCTAAAATTACAATTAGGAACAGTCTCATTAACAAACTACCAGTAGATGGCACTATTGACCCTTTATAGTAAGATAAAATGCTGCATTTCATCGCAATTACATTGTAACTAAGGCTCCTGAAGCTAGGTATTTGTGTGACCTGAATCTGACTGCCAATTAAATAGAATCATAATTTTTTAAATTATTTGTGAATATGTTCATATTTCATCCATGCACTAGTAAGACACTCTACCCTAGGTGCTCTCTTTAAACTGAGAGACAAAGCTTTGTTCCACATTGTAATAAGGCAGTGTTCCACCAAGCTTTCCAGATAAAGTGTACATACTATGATTTATATGCCCTATAAAGTACTGTACATTTGGGGGTTAAAAAAAATCAAAACAAAAATAATTATGAAATTGTGAAGTTAAATAAAGCAGATGAAATGTTTTTGCTCAATTCATAACTGAAGCCAATAAAGCACTGTAATTGAAAAGTCAACCTAAAATTGATCAATTTAGAGCTGTGGCAAATACTATTTAGGAGCAGTTGTTCCATCTTGGAGCTACAATTTCAAAACATTAATTAAAATTCTGCTTTAATTATTCATTAGAGAAGATAACGATGTATCTGATCTAAAATTATACCAATGACTAGCCACTACAAATAAGCCAAAATATTGCTGCATGTAGTGAGATCAGTTACATCTTTCACATCACATCTGATGGTCAACTTCAGTTTTACAGTAAGAAATTAATCTTATTAAATTCCAATAAACTATATATTTGCACGTGTATTCCTCTCCACATTGTCATACAAACGAGGGTAATTATTACATATCTTAAAAATCACTAACAAGCTACAGTGTTGTTGACAAGTCAGTGATGTTACTCCCCCACACCACACAGTAACTGAATTCTACAAGAGGCATCTTTCTTTGAGTATTGATTTGCTATTCTTTTAAGGCCAGGTTTCTATGAGTGAAAAAGAGGAGGAGAAAGAATGCCCTAAGTTGATTTAACTGCTTGCTGCTATTTAACTGTTGAATCCTACCACTCAGTTGCAAGGATATAAGCCAGCTCCAGTCCAAACCCCATGAAGTCAAAATATAGCCACAGTTTTATGACCTCAGCAAGTCTTACTAATTTAACCACAGCACTACACTAATGAAGCTTGGAGTAGAGTGGCTCAGAGCACACAAGAGAAGAAATCTGGCTGGGTCTGCAAATCACCATAAAGGAATATCCGCTAGCTACAAACAAAAAATCCCATACATATAACTAAAGGCCTAATTTTATTACAAAAATTCATACAGAATTACCAAAATATTTAAGGGCATTAAAATAATAAACAACATTTTACTTCTCTAAAACATTATCACACCTGTTGCACACACTTAGAGATAAATACTAGAAATATCAAACTATTTTGTAACTACTACTGCATTTTATTTAATCTTACACACTGATGTCCTGTTTCATATCCTTTTTCTAAGAAGTCACAAGAGTCATCATTATCTGAATGAGTTTGTTTCTGACTCTCTATAATGTGAAATTTCACTGCATGAAACTTTTTGACAGCATCAGGGAGTGAGCAGCAAGAGGAGAAAGGTGGTGGGGGGAATCAGGTGCAACACTGAAAATCGCTGTCAACATTTTCAGATCTGAAATTCTCAGAATTTATTTTGCTTTGGGCTGGTTTCTTTTCATTAGTTGTGATTCTTCACTCAGAGGAACAATGGAAAAAAAATAACATTTATTACCCTGAACTCTTTATTCCGTGCAACATCCAAGAAATTAACATACTATCATTCTTGGATGATTTACTGACAAGTCAGTATCTGCTTGCTTTCCTTACTCAAGCCATCATACTTTCACTATTAGAGCCCCTCAAACTACTGGGCATTTGTAGCAAAAAATAACAGAAAGCTTCCTCATTGCCTCCCACACATTCACCAATCAACCCCAGAGTTTCAATTCATGTTTTTAGCAATCTTCATGACAATTCAACTGGGACTCAAGCAAGGATTTTCCTCTCGAAAAGTATGCAGTGTTGGCTTGTACCCACTAGCCGCAAGAACTAAAGCAAACTGTATGCTCCTGCTGTTCTGCTTCTGTTGTACATATGATTACAAGTTTCTTGCCCATCAGTTGAATTTTGGAATTTCATGGGAAGTCAAACTACAAAGGCAGCTGCATTTCAGGGGAAAGCAGGAATGAGGTTTCACCAATGCCGTTCATCTTCGAATTCTGCATTCTGTTATATGATGTCTTCATACTCCAGCTGTAACTAACTGCCTCTGATTTATCTCAGTAAGTAGGCAATCCTCACAGCCTTATGGTGTACATCTGCAGAACGTCTCCCATGTGCAGCACACAAAGTTTATTATTGCCAAAATAACCACAATGTTTTCCTTCAACTTCAGAAAGTTACTTATACCCAAGACACTTGGGTCTGCCATAACAGCACATTATTCCTTTGGTATGTTCAATGTTCTTTAAAGGAAGACTACACGCACCCCAACACTTTGCATACTTTTCATGTGCCGTGAATCCAGAGTGACTTGCACATTACTGGTATGATATAACAATGTAACTTTTAGTCTTACACTGGTTGGAAACCTTAAGTTACTTTCCATTTAGAGGACAGGGCTGAATGAGGACTTTCTGCCTATTACTTCACCAGAAAACACATGATGTCCCGATATGGCTTTCTGTATGAACATACACTGTTTTCTGAAACACCTTTATACTGGACACTTCACACAGAGGTATGTAGCCATCCTTGCCAAAACATTAGTTTTTAATATGAAACCAATTAATCAAAGTTATTTCTGTACTAGTCACTTACTCACAGTACTACTTCATAATGTAAACTATATTTAGACATACTTACTCTTGGACAACAAACTAAAAAATTCAGGTGAAGCCTCACTATACTTTGCTACAAATTTTAAGTTTACTCTGGCAGGTATGTTCCCCTCAAATCAAAATAAACAAATAAAGGCTACCTATTTTGTTGCCTGATCCTCAAGCTGTTTACACTGTTGGATTCAGCTACTTTTTAAGAGCAAGATAAAATTAAATGTAAGAATTGAGTCCACTACTAAAAGTACAGGCACATGACAAGATTATTTTCCCAGTGTTTTTGCAAAATTAACTACTGATTTTGGTCAAATGAAATAGCCAGGCAACAGAACAGCATGTAATTTTGAAGGACAGTAGCCTGCATGGACTGAATGGAATTTTAGTTTTTAAAGCATTAAATTAATGCTACAGAAAATGCACCTACTGAGACTAGAAATTCAAGCATCTACCACATGAAAAAACAATACTTCAAAATGTAATACTAACTTCTAAAGGATTCTGTTCTGCCACAAAATATAGTTTTCATCATGCAACACATACAAAATAGTTGTAGGGAATCAAGAGAACAATATTTTTCATCCTTTCAAGTTTAATACCACTGAAGAGCAGGTAAAGGTATAGTAATAAGGTCTAAATGTTTTTTGGAACGTTTATTCTTACTTAGTATATCATTACTCTAACTCAGAAAAGGGACACTGTCCAATTTGACTTTCTGTGTTTAAGACACGAGTCCAAACAATTTGAAAATTATGCAACTTTTTATTATAGCAGACACTAAAGTTTATCAGAAAACATAGTGTAAAGATGACCAATGATAAAGACAGTTTACATAAAGTAACTGTAAAATTATCTAGTAAAGATAGTTTACATAACATGATGGAACTTTCAGTCTGTAAAGTCTTCCAAGTCAGATAAAAGCTGAACAATTTGTATACCTACCTTTCTTGTTTTAATGCATATTCTAACATTTTTATTCTTCTCACTAAATCTTTCTTCAAGTTTTCTTGACCCTTTCTTTCCCCTTGTAAAAACGCTATCCGAGCCTGAAAACACAAAAAACCAAAAGATGAGATTTTATTCCATTCTGTTCCCAAAACAAAGCAATGAAGTCTAGCTCAGAAGGAGAAGAAAAAAAAAAAAACTCTGTTTTACATTAATCGCTTCAGTCAGTCATTAACAACAAAAATATTTCTGCGCTAGAGACCAAGTATTATTTTCTGTTCATAAATGTTGGGGTTTTGCCTTGAAATAAAGGTATTAAAGTTAGTATAGTAACTCTAAAAGAAGGCACAAACTGCAATCATATGAAACATTTTAATATATGCACACATTTTTTTCCCTATGTCATTGTTAGCATAAATTCTGTTATACATTTTCTTCCAAACCCAAAGCCATATTAAAATAGGTACACAGCATACTTTTAAGGAATTTAGTTTTTAATGACAGTATATCGAACAGATTAAGAAATGGATACATGAATTCAAATACAGAATTTACAAATCCATTATGCAGGAAACAACTGTATTTTATGGATTCACGTTTTACTTACTACTGAAGACAGCTGAAGGTTAGAGTATCACAGGAGAATTGGGTTTAGTATGCTGTTCTATATGGAGAAAAAGAATACTTTTTTTTTTTTTTAAAGCATCAATCATACTACCCACTTAACTTACAAAGAAGCAATGAAGCTTCCTACTTGCCTGCTAACCCAGTAGATAGCTTGTATGTTCTAATGAATTTATTGTTTTCTCAACTAATGCAAAAGGTCTAGTGGAAAACTTTAAAGTAGTTGAAAAATAAAGGTAGTAAGTCTGTTGAGAAAAAAGTATTCTCTTCACTACAAAGTGAAATGGCTTATATTTTGTCTTTAGCAAGCCAAAATCCTAGGGAAGACAAGGGTTGCAGATATGAATACAAAATTTAAACAGTTAACAATATTACTGGATTAGCCATCATTACAGGAAACCACAAACTCATTTGTCCTCATTATGACTTTAAACTGCCTGAAGTCATTGGGTAGCTAATTCAAGACAAGGTTCAACATAAAATTTTCTTGGAAGAGGGATTAAAATAAACAGAATAAGGAGAATAAAGTAGAGAACACATTGCTCTACAGAGCTTAAGATCAACAACACAATTTCATTATTAAAGGAGGCACAATAAAAAAAAAAAAAAGGCAGAGCTATAATCGACACCTAATCTATATTTGAAAATTTTTTTAAAGGGGGTGGTTGTACGTTTTCATTACTCTCGGTGGTTAGAGCCTGAAACGGTCTAACCAGGAGGATAGCATTCTTGCATTGCTCCTTTCTCAAAACTAAGTGATATCACCACATAAAACTCCACACATCAGCCCTGATTTTAGCCCCTCTTGCCTTATGCTCAATGATAAACCAAATTAAAATGTGTTCTTTTACTTTGCATTAGCTAACTAATGATTTAATCAATTAAAATTTAAAATCCTACTGAGAACAAGGCAGTTATGAGTATTTCAGTTAAAGTCTGTCATGAAAGCACTCTCAACTAATGCCTGCCACTTGGTGAGAAAGAATAATGCACCAAACAATGCATGGTAATAGAGAAGAAAAAAAAAATACAGACTTTGTAATGATTGCACAGATATTTCAAGATAAAATGTAGAGACCGAGATCCAGAATCAGCTATTTTAAACAGTGGGCTCCCAATGGAAGGGGATAGAGGAAGCTGAGCAAACCCAACAACTATACTTTACCACAGTTATGCTACTTAGATTCTAAAAAATACTATAAAACTGCCTCCAATACAATAGAAAGTTAACAGCCTTCTGGAGAAAACTACAATTATACATAATTTGCACTTCTCTAGTCTCTAAGGCAGCAAATGACCAGACAATTTCACAAGCCCAACTTGTTTTCCCAATTTTCACTAGTCAAGGATAAGACAACAAAAAGTAAACAATGTCCTTATACATAAATACAAAAGTACACATAAAATAGTTATAAAAGTAGGGTTTTTTTAAAAAGTAGTATGTTACATGCACATATGCGCAACACCATACTTCAAACATTTGAAAATTACTGCATGCACACAGTCTCTTTACAAAAATAAAACCAGAACTAAATACTTTGATAATTATCATCTAAGGAAGGTTATGAAAGCTCTTATGCTCTTTGACTTGAATGCAGTTCTCAACTCTTTCCAAAACTCAGAGGTCTTCTGTAAGTGGTCTTCTCCCCTTCTATTAGTCGTCTTCTATTTGACAAATCTTAGTTGCCAGCTGCAACTGTTGGGCCTTAATTTCATCCTCAGTTTGCTGATAATGGAGAGAAAAGTAATATAGCCCTGATCATACACAGAGGGAGGCATCTGCCTCCTAAATGCTCACAGACAAACTATTTCCTTCTTCTGGAAATACTTTTGGAGTACTTGGCCAAGCAGAATCAAGTCTCCATGTTTACTAGGTATTGCCTAGACCTCATACTTTTCAACCAGACAGCTTAATGAGCTAAGTGATCTTGAGAATCAATATACTACAGAAATAATGTTATAAAAATAAACACAAACAAAACCCAAAAATCCACCCTAGGAAAAAACCCTCAAAAAATCTTTTATATACAACAGTATTTATAACAATCTTCACAGAGTCCAAAAGGTTGAACAGAAAGGTCGCCATACAAGAACAGACTTTGTAGTTGTGTTTTTGACATTTTTGTCAATATCAGCAGACTTCTAGCATCACTTTCTGTAATTGCTTGTATACATATTTGATTGATTTTAGGGATTTTTTTTTTTTCTTTTTTTTTTTCTCCATTGTAACCGTCACATGGCTAAAACCTAACAGAAGTTATCTATGCAGAAGTTAAGAGCTTGGTCTTTAGAAATATGGAAAAATCAATTTAGACTTTAGGAACACTTAGTCATAAAGACCCTCAATACAAAACCAAGAATAAGATCACTACAGATTTCCTGTATAAATTACGTTAATCAACTTGCTTCCTTAAGTCTTGAACTGAGAAATGAGGAGTGTCAAAACTATCACTTGACGTATTGCATGACTATGAGCTCTAAGAATTAACACACAATTTCCCAACACTGATTTTTTTGAAAAGCAGTAAATCTCAGGTTCAATAAAAACAGATAAAGTAAACAGATCAGTCTCCCTCAGGATTGTTGTACTAACTTAGGTTCCATACACAAAGACAAACACTTAAGAAATGCTCTCTACATAATACAACTTTCTCAATCCTTAGATATTCCTTTCCTTTGAAACAATTCTCGGGAGAGCTAGATTTGATATGATTTATAACTATACTGATGGTTAAAGACTGACTGGCACTAAAATTGGGAAACAAAATGGCACAGAACAATTTGGTACTCACCTTCCCTCCCTCCCAGTTACAACAGAATTCCTTCCATTGTCTTAAATCAATTTGTAAGTCCCCAGGCTGATACTAAGAGAAGCAATCCTCCTCCTCCTATTTCTGTTCCCTCTACTGTGCTGACTTTGCTGCTTCTGCTGCCACACATTAAGTCTACTGAGGAAATCATTCTATTTATTTTTTATTCAGTTCTGAATTACATCAGTTTCCTGATCCTACTCTGTATAGCCATGGGAGTACTTAGGCTGGCACAAGGGATGCAAACAGGATACTGAAGTAACAGCTCCTTTCAGTGACAACATGGTCTTAGGTCAGCTTAAACTGACCACGATATCATAAACTGCATGTCCAGGGCACTAGAGTTGCAAAAACAAGAGCAGAGAAACTAAGAAAGTCAAATACAAGACAACCCCTAACTCTTTTGAATTACAAATTCAATCAAAATGTATTTTTAAAAGTATATTAGCAAGACCATTTCTTAAGGGAGAGAAAACTTGTTATTTTAGAGAACATGTATAAAACACTAGTTCTGTAAGCAAAAATATGGCCTCCCATGGCTTTAAAAAAATCCAGCTGAATTTAGTTGTGTACAGATTCTGTTAGAGTATTTTCACCCACAGAGAGGGCTACGCTTCAGATTCTTCAAACAAGCTCAACCAGGAGCCTCTTTTTCAGGGCAGCTTCCTCCTCTTCTACCAGCCTGTCCATTTTCACATTTACAATATTTTCATGGATCTCCGAGATCCACTATCTTTCTACAAAATTCAGTGGCACCTGATTACTTTGGTCTCCCTCTACACCTTGGCCCTCAGCTGTAAATAAGAGTACCACCACATGAACTTGCCCAGTTTTACTATGAAAGTGAATTCAGGGAGCTCCGAGAAGCAGTCAGAGTGACAGATACTTTGTATTTATGCAAGGATGCATGAAATAATGCCTGAAACTAGGCAAGATAGAATATAAGGATAAAAAGAATTGCTGAACAGCTACTTGAATAGTATGGATCCCATGAAAAAGAATTGTCTGAGGCTAAATAACTACAGAATGCACACATAGAAGGGGACAAATAAAAATTCTAACATCTACTCTTCTAGACTTTGTAAACTTACTATTGTTTGAATGGAGTGTTGCATTTCAGACATACATGCACTACATTTTGTAGTTGGAAGGGTTTTTATCTTTTAAATAGGAAGTCTCACCATGTGCAAACCAGGCAATAGTCTTTCACCCAACAAACTCCAAGATCTCAAGTAAGAAACCGAAGTTTTCCTTGAACGATAGGAATAAGTAAATCACTGATAACACTGACACTCCACATCCCTAGCATGCAATTACACACTGCTTGATCAAAGTGTAACAGAAGATTTGAAGTAGTTTACTAGAGAACTTGCACATAACTTTAAACAAAAATATTGCATTTCACATAGAAGTTGATAAATCTAAATTTTAAGAAAAAATGTTTTCTGGGAAGAAAATGAGGGTTTTTTTCCTTCTCTTTAAAGAAGCTTGAAAGGTCCTAAAACTTAAGAATTATTGCACTACTTTTCATACAGCGCTACCCATAATAGCAGCATTCATAAAACTGCATAGAAAAGCCCGACTTAAAGACAATCTTTATGTTGATCAAACATATTTCTCTTAACCATTGAGGACAAAGGAGGGAAGTTGTTACAGCATTTTGGGC